TAAATGGCCAGAAGTTTTCGCTATTCCCAATCAAGAAGCCATCACTGTTGCCCAGGTGCTAGTGGACGAAGTTTTTAGTCGTCATGGTGTGCCACTAGAGTTACATTCAGACCAGGGACGAAACTTCGAATCTGCCATCTTTAAGAAAGTTTGTGAGATCATGGGCATTCGTAAGACAAGGACAACACCTTTACACCCTCAGTCTGATGGCATGGTGGAACGATTCAATAAGACCATAGAGGAACACCTGACAAAAGTGGTCGCAAAGAACCAACGAGATTGGGACAAGCATTTGCCTCTCTTTTTAATGGCTTACAGAACGGCTGTTCACGATTCAACAGGTGAAAGTCCGGCTAGAATTGTTTTTGGAAGGGAACTCAGGTTACCTTGCGATCTGATGTTTGGAGTACTTGAAGAAGAACGAAGAGAAATCCGAGATTATGCCGACGAAGTAAGGGCACGACTTCTGGGTATCCATGATTTTGCTCGGGAGCATATTCAACTAGCCAGTGACCGAATGAAGACCAGATACGACTTGAAGGCCAATTCGGTCGGATTTCAAGAAGGTGATTTGGTGTGGTTGTATAACCCAGTAAGGAAGAAAGGAGTATCACCGAAATTGTCTTCAGCATGGGAAGGACCCTATAGAGTAATCAAGAGGATCAATGATTTGGTTTATCGAGTCCAGCGCAACACCAGGAGTAAGATGAAAGTTGTACATCTGGACAGGTTGGCGAAATATCATGGGCGTGAAGTTGATCGGGACGATCAACCTTAAGAGGAGGGCAGTGTCACAATAAGCTAAACGTCCGCCAGGCTGTCAAGAATCGATCGCGGAAATACTAGAATCTAGCGAATTATTCTACTTTAATCTGGAAAATTAGATTATCGTGTGTATTCTAGATTTCACAGGAATAGATTTAGGGATATATAAGAAGGCCGGCATTGGTTTGTAAGTTAGTTTTCAGTTCGACTGTGATACGATTTAAATAGTGATTGTAAAGAGTTTAATTGTTGAGTTTGTTAATAAAGTAATTAGTGTCAGAGTGTTTTGTTAAGTGGAATAAATTATTGCTGTGTTAATTGGACTTTGATTTTTGGAATAAACGAAACGAACAACGAACCCAAGATTTTTGTCAGCAGGCAACCCAAAGCCGCGACAGTATTTATATTAGTCTGAAGGGTCTGCAATAGAGGTAATCTCAAGAAATATTTTAAGGTCATCAGCATAGCACAGAAACAGGCAGTATTTAAAGGATAACTCTATGTTATTGATGTAGATCACGAACAGGAGAGGACCAAGATGGGAACCCTGAAGGACCCCCGAGGATGGTGTGAATCTTTCAGAACAAAACCCTAACAGGGCAACAAACATAGATCTATCGAGTAAATATGATTGAAACCATCTCAGGAGGTCGCCACAGATTCCCATCTCCGCTAGCCTGGCAATCATGCTATGGCAAATTCTGTCAAATGCCTTACTAAAATCAGTATAAATTACATCTACTTGACAAAAGGTATCGAATGATTCATATATGTACTGTAAGTATTCTATCAAATTTAACTATAGGCCAGCGTTGCCAGCATCAGTACAGATGTACTGAAATCAGTACAATTTGACTCTCTTCAGTACGTCAGTACCACACTATAAAATTCAGTACATTTTGCCACCGCTGTACAATACCGGGGATATTTTTAAACGGCGGGGAAAATTAAAAAAGTACCTGCATTTTCGAATGGACGGACGGGGCTCACGGATCACTCCGGGTGCATTCCAGCAGAATACTGAACGCACCCTAAACATGCCTTTAGCCCGCGCCCATTTTACGGCCGTATGGACTTAATCTCGATCAGGTGTTTAATCTCGCTTAGTTCGGAAATTTGTCCTGCACCGCAGGAAAAAAGTAGTTTAAGCTTTGGATTACAAGATCCACCCGAGAGAAGGGTTTTGCTTAGATAAGATGCTGCTTAAATCAAAAAAAAATCCAAGAAGGGTGATGACATGGCAATATTATCGAACTAACTTAAATTGCCTAACATGTACATTCTTAAGAAGCTAGAAGATAATAGCATTAAATTTCGTTGAATAAGTAACCTGCGCCAATCTGTAAAGTCAGATCTCTAGTGACTTTAGTTAGGTAAAGAGGTAGAGATAAAAAACAATGTTTTTCGTGAAGCCCATCGCCCATCCGAGTGTTCAATTAACCCACTAAACCGTGAAATAAAAAAAATAATTTAAAATGAATGATCTGATCTTTAATTTGATGTTTTAAATTTAAAGCAGTACAGGAGTAGGAAAAACAAAATGAGTATCCTAAAGCCATCTACTTTATCAGTTTTATGAACTCCAGTTCAGTTTCTGAAGTAAGTACATTTTTCCGTTTTTCAGTACACTTTTTGTCTGTTGATCAGTACTTTAATTTTCAAGGGTCTGGCAACGCTGCTATAGGCTCCTCTTTCGCAGAAAACCATATTGTTGTGGCATAATATCACCTATTACAAAGTTAAAGATATATGGATAAACCAGTTTTTCAAACAGTTTCGAAAAGGTGCATAATATACTGATAGGTCTATAATTCTTGACATTATTCTTTTGACCATTCTTGTATATTGGTTTAATAGCAGAGACTTTCCATACATCTGGAAAAACTCCAGAGGAAAGAGACTGGTTGAACAGTAGTGTGAAGGGCAGACAGAGTGAAGCTGAGCATTTTTTTGCAAATATGGCTAGAATATCATCAGGGCCTGCACCCTTTTTTTCATCCAAACCCTCCAGAGCTCTTTGTACTTCGGTCTCAGTTAAAATTATTTTCGAAAGCGATTTGTTTTTAGGTATAGAATGTGTTTTATTTGTTATTTTCTTTGTAGGTGATTTGGCAACATATACACTCTGAAAAAAATCAGAAAACAACCTACACACTCCAGCACCGTCCTCTGCCACCTTGTCCCCAAATTTCATTTCCTTGGGTGTTCCGCCACTCGATCGCTTATTTGATACAAAGTTCCAAAACTTTTTACTATTGTTAGGTATTTCATTTTCTATGTTAGCTACATATGACTCATAATCATTGTTAATAGATTTTTTTGTTTCTGAACGGATTGATTTAAAAGTATTATAGTCATTTATATTATTATTTGTTTTCCATTTTTTGTGCAATTTATTTTTTTAAGTATCAATTTAATTGTATTTTTAGACAAATAAACAGGAAAATTATTATTTAAACGTTTTAGCGGAACTTGATTCTGTATGATTTTATTTAGAGTGTCATAGAATAAGGTGACATTTGTGTTTAAATTATTAAAATTAAGGAGAGAATGCCAATTTTGTATCTGGAGATCATGGTTAATGTCTTCATAGTTTGCTTGTTTGAAATTGCTGAAGTATTTTTCCTTGCACGTTTCTTTTAGGTAAGCGTTAGGGCAGTCTAATAGGAACTCCAAAGAGGGGTGGTGTATGTTTTCAGGTAGCAGAGGATGGGTGGAATGGATTAAGTCTAAAAGTCTGTCATTTGTATTATATATGTTATTAAATTGCATGAGACTATTATGAGAAAAAGCTTCCAGTAACTCGCTATATTTTGGTGGTACATTAAATGGTTCAAAATGGCTATCATCTTTGAGCCAATCAACCGTTGAGTAATTAAAATCTCCACATATTAATACAGGGTGATCTTTCATTTTACTTAAATTTATGCTCAATTTTGTTAAAAAACAGGTATAGTTAACATCATCACCATGTGGGAGATAAACACAAACATAAATACACTTTTATATCACCCACAGTCAAAAGAGCCCAAACTAACAATGATGAAGCCATTTCGAGCTATTAAGGTCTTCAAGTTAAAAAGATGCAAGCCTTTGCAGAGTAAACTAGGTATCAAGCTCACTGCTGAGACTGTCCTCGTTTAAAATCTTAACAGCAGGCGATGTGGGCATTTTCTTTACATATACTGAGCCATTATAAGTATAGGCAACTTCGACAGTTTTTTGCCTCCTTGTGTCTCTTGCAAGTTTAAATAGCTTTCGGTTTTCTATGGTGAGATCCTCATTGAAATAAATGATCCCACCTTGTAATCCACACGAGTCCGCTGTGATTTTGCCAATTTCCTTGCGTGTTTTGAATAAGGCACTTCTATCCCGATTGCTGCATAATTCGACTGAGATTGGAGAGTTCTCTCTCGCACTCAGATTATATTATATTATGTTTTCCTTCTCCTTTTGCTCAGACAGACTTACTTTAACTTCAAGTTTTTTGATGTTTTGTTTCATGCTGTTGTTTTCCTTGTCATATTTCTTTAGTGTGTCTGTGGCCTTGATTAGTTTTTTTTTTTTTTTTGATCCTCGTATTGTGAAATGAACTCTGCTGAACCTTTAATATCATCAATTTCCTTTTTTAGTGTATTAGTAGTGTTAGATAAGGCTTATGCATAGGACTTTGGTACTGAATCCACTGTGGATTTAAGCTCAGACTTAAGTTGTTGAACGTTTCGCTTCATGTCACGAAGGTTATCGCTTATTTGCTTGATGTTGCACAGGCAGCCTTCACAGAAGTGGAGTATGATGCGTGATTGCGTCATAAGTGCCCTTATGTCGCTTGATGTAAGTTTCGAACACTCTCTACATAGGATGTTCCTGCACAAGTCGCAAGGACCCCCAGAAAGGTCCTTTATGTTCCTATTCTTGGTAACATCCACATAAACGCACGATTTATTGCACTTAAAACAGGTCCCCATTTTTACAGGTTATGTTTTGCAACGCCGATTTTCTTTCAAGAAAGCTAGGATTTGACTCTATAAATTAAAAATAACATGAAAAGTCAGAATAAAAAGTTAAAAATTAAAGTCACATTAAAAAAATTAAAAACAGTTAAAATAACGTTAAAAATTACATTGAAATATCAAAAAGACGATTAACATGGTACATAAAACAACTCAGACACTACAGCTAAGTGGTTTAAAACGAACAAAGGATTCGAATGCAAAGTTTTTGTTTTTTTTCAGGGAAAAGTTTACCTATTTGACAAAGTATTCAAACCAAATGCAACACAAGAAAAAGTCTACAGTGAGGCAGCCAAGAGCATTGTCTCCGATGTTCTGGCCGGGTACAACGGGACAATATTTGCCTATGGGCAAACGTCTTCGGGTAAAACACATACCATGGAAGGTGTCATAGGTGAGTGCAGCATGGTTTTTCCTGAAACATTAAATAAATTGGCTGTTTATTTTAAATTATATTTTCTCCAGAAGTATTATACATATGTTTTAAGCACTGCTTGGCGCAAAGCCAGAATAATATTTAAAAACGATTTGTGTGCACCTCGACATAATTTATCAAATCCCATCCAGAAAGGCTCCTTAATTTATAGAAGTATCTTCAGTCGCATACAACAGGTTGCCCAAGGTAACCTTATCATTAAGGTTGCATCATTGCAAAGAGGTTCAATTTGAGTCAAAAGCAGCCTGTATTCTTTATAAACAAGCTTTGATAATTGTCTCCAATCATTTTGAATATAATTTTTTCTCCTGTGTGGTAAAAAAAATGTAAATTTTGGGGTTTGCTATAAGGCTCAGTTAATATTGAACTGGACATACTAAACATGCACGAAAATTTACCACAAATATTGATTACCTGTTAGGGAAAAGTGGAAACTAGAGCACATTACAAAGCAAAGCATTTTCATCTATTATGGATCAATATTTTGTTTCTTTTTGGTGCATACCTTTTTAAAATAGAGCACGAAAGTTCGTTGATCCCTTCTAAAATATTTCCCTAAATTATAGTGCAATATGTAAATGTTGCGATTTTCATATCAGATAAGATGCTTTTAAGTTTACTGAATTAACTGGTGTATTTTTTTGTCAAGAAACAGTGCTGACAAAAAAAAATTGAAGATTACTTTTTTTCCATCTAGTTCACAAAGACCGATGATTTCACTCAATAATCTAATTAAATCAATAATTTATTGTTTTTGTTAATGTTCTAGTAATCAAGTTTTTTGTAATCGAGATTTTAACCTCATATACAATATCAGATCCACATTCTCAAAGCTGAAAAGCCACAGTATAGGAATGGAACTTTATCATTTGTTATTGTACAGCTGCAGTGAATTTCTTTGTTAATTTGATAAAATTGACAAGCCATTGTTAGGTTAACGTGAATATTTTTCATCAGTGTCAGTGTCTGTTTACAGGTGATCCACACAAGCAGGGTATCATACCTAGAATTGTAAATGATATCTTCAATCACATCTATGCTATGGAAGAAAATCTAGAATTCCACATAAAAGTTTCCTATTTCGAAATTTACATGGACAAAATTAGAGATCTCTTAGACGGTAAACTGAACTTCTTAAGTTTTCAACAATGACAATGGTAAATTTTTGTTTTTAGTTTCAAAAGTTAATCTTAGTGTTCATGAAGATAAAAACAGAGTACCGTATGTCAAAGGCGCCACGGAGAGGTTTGTCTCTAGCCCTGAAGAAGTATTTGAATCCATAGAAGAAGGAAAATCTAATAGACATATAGCTGTGACAAGTAAGTATACCTTAACATCTTGTAAAGCAATTGTTGCTCATAATAACTGCTCTCTTTTAGATATGAATGAACATTCATCTAGGTCGCATTCAGTATTCCTTATTAATGTTAAGCAAGAGAACTTAGAAAACCAAAAGAAATTGTCAGGAAAGCTCTATTTAGTAGATTTAGCAGGTTCAGAAAAAGTATCTAAAACTGGAGCTGAAGGAACCGTTCTAGATGAAGCTAAGAATATTAACAAATCTCTTTCCGCTTTGGGTAATGTAATCAGTGCCTTGGCTGATGGAAATAAGACACATATTCCTTACAGAGATTCAAAACTAACGCGTATCCTTCAAGAATCCCTAGGAGGTAAGTTGTTCCCAAAACCAATATTCTAAATAGTTTTTAAGTATATTTATCATTACAGGTAATGCCAGAACGACAATAGTTATCTGTTGTTCTCCAGCTAGTTTTAATGAGTCTGAAACCAAATCGACTCTCGAGTTTGGTAAGAGAGCCAAGACCGTCAAGAACGTAGTAACAGTGAACGAAGAATTGACAGCAGAAGAATGGAAGAGACGTTACGAGAAGGAAAAAGAAAAAGTGGCAAGGCTCAAAGGCAAAGTGGAAGTTCTTGAAGCTGAGCTGAATAGGTGGCGTGCTGGTGAAACTGTTAGGGCTGAAGAACAAGTTAATCTTAACGAACTAATTGAAGCCATAACGCCTGTCTCAGCTCTGGAAGAAAGTGTTGTAGAGCCCGTTGGACCTATGCCTGCAACACCTGCATTAATGATTGGATCCACACTGGGATTGGAAGAAAGACAGAGATTGGAATTAGAAAGAGAAAGACTTTACCAGCAATTGGATGAAAAAGACGAAGAAATTAACCAACAGAGCCAGTATGTAGAAAAATTGAAAGAACAAATGATAGAGCAGGATGAATTGATTACAAGCACCCGTAAAGACTATGAAGCTTTGCAAAGTGAAATGAATAGAATTCAGCAAGAGAATGAAAATGCAAAAGAAGAGGTTAAAGAAGTACTACAAGCTTTAGAAGAACTAGCTGTGAATTATGACCAGAAATCACAAGAAGTCGATGCTAAGAACAAGGAAATGATCTCGCTTACTGAGGAATTGATGGAAAAACAAACTGGCCTCAACACAACCACCACAGAATTGCAACAACTCAGGGATATGAGCAGTCACCAAAAGAAACGAATTGCGGAAATGCTTAGCAATTTATTGAAAGAGTTGGGCGAGATTGGTAAGAAGTTTTACAAAATAAATATATTTTTTTAAATACATCGAGCAATTTTGTTTTAGGTACAACTCTTGGTAGCGAAGGTTCAGAACTTAAGGTGTCAAATGATGCTGCAAAACTGGAAGAAGAATTCACCGTTGCTCGATTGTATATTTCAAGAATGAAAAGTGAAGTTACTAATCTCACTCAGCGGCTGCTGGAAATTGAAAACAAAGAACAAGATAGTAACAAAAAAGTTACAGAATATGAGAAGGAACTAGCAGAATGTAGGTTATTAATTTCCCAACATGAAGCTAGAATGAAGAGCTTACAAGAATCGATGAGGGAATCCGAAAATAAGAAGAGAATGCTTGAGGAAAGTGTTGATGCTCTCAGGGAGGAATGTGCTAAGCTTAAAGCAGCTGAACAGGTACCATTATGCTCAATATGTTATTATGGGTAATGTAATTTTGTTGTTATCAGGTATCGTCTGCTTCTGAGAGTGAAAAGAAAGAAGCAGCTGATTTACGAATGGCTCTTGAGCAACAAATGGATCAATTGCGAGTTGCTCATCAACAGCAAGTTGCTTCGCTAAGAGATGAAATTGCAGAAAAACAGCAGCTTATTAGTGACATCAAGGAGTAAGTGTTTTTTTTCTTTAATTGTATTGTGAGATACTTAATGAATATTTTTCAATTTAGCTCCAACCAAAAACTAACTTTGGCACAACAGCAACTTCAATCCGACTATGAGAAGATCAAGGTTGAAGAGGCTGACAAGTCTCATAAGCTCCAAGAACTCATGTCAGTATCAAATGTTTATAAACTCGGGTCGAAATCTATCAATATCCTTGATCCGTCCCATGGATGTTCCATTAATCAATTGTCCTTGGCCAAAAGTTCATCATTCAAAAAATCCTCTCCTATATGGGAAGATTTTGTTCCTTACAAAAACCAATTAAATTCAACGAAAATGGTTAAAAACTTGAAAAATTCAAAAATATCATCTTGTAAAACAACGACATCTAAGTCTGATAAAGATCTGCGAAATACTGTGATGAAATCGAAAAGTCTTGCTAGCAAAGCTTTGTGCACAATGTCGATTTTTCATATTCACACTTTTCATTTGCACCTTATTGTTTCCTTAACTTTGCTATTGGTTACCCATAAATGTCCTCAGTATCTTGTTATTTATTAATGTAGAATGTATCGCAAAAAAAAAAACTATCCTACTTCTATTGTTAAAGATGTTTGTGTCCTAAAGTCATCAGCCCCTAACTTCAGAACCTTAAAAGAGAATTATTTACAAGATTTATCTGAATAGTAGATTTTTTCAATGAATAAAATTCAACATTTAGAAGATGTTTCCTGAAATAGTAAACATGGATGATATCCTTCACTTTATTTTTTAATGGAAAAAAATCAAGATGCAATATTAGAATTATCAAGACACAGGGAATGAAGTCATGCTAATGAACATCCTATGTTTAAAATGATAAAAAAATGAGACAAAATGTATGAATATATACAACGCGCAGTTCCATAACTTAGTGGACTTAATAAAAGATTGACTGGGATAATCACAAAGATATAACAACCGCTCTAGAAAAAAAGGAATCTGAATAATTTTGAATAAAAAAAAAACGCACAGGTAAATATCATACAAAAGAGATATTTTGATACTAATTTGGAGGCAGTTCCTGTTCATGTTTACTCATTCCTCTTTTGTGTTTTTGTTTTAAAAACAATAAATTGAATTTAGAAAACGAATTGAAGAATTGGAGTTAGGTGATCAGGTATCAAATGAAATAGAATCTGGATGAGCGAGAAGCAACAATTTTTGAATAGCCAAGAGAAAAATTATTTTTGATGAAATAGTGATTATTATAATTATTTTGCGTGTAATTTGAACAAAATTATATTTTCCCATTCCCTATTTCCTTTTATACTTCCAGTTTATTAACTCCCAAAAAAAATTCCAAAGCTTTTTCCTGTGGTTTTCTTAGTGATGTAGAATCATTTTGTTTTATTATGATTTATTTTATTATTTATTTTATTATAATTTTTGCCGCGTTGTCACATCACACGAGCAGCGTCGTTTGGTTAAGTTTTATTTTTACAACTTGCAGAATCGATGTTGCCATAACGTCCCAAATGTTTTGGCAAATCGATTCCTTTTTTTTACTGCCATGCAGTTTACATTTTGGTTTTAGTACTTAGGTCGTAGTAAAACCGAAAACCGTTGTAAGATATTTTATAAATACCTATTATTGAAAATTTGCATTCAGTTAATATTTTTGAATATTCAAATTTTTGCTACAATTTCATATTTTTCTATTCTAGTAATGATAGATTTTTTTTTTGAGATTGGGAACAGTAAGATCTATAGAAGTTTTAATTTGATGCCAAAATATTACAGAGATTTGGAAAAAAAGAATATTTTTGTTCAACTTGATTATACTTCTTTTCAGATAGGTATGTCTTCAAAAATTTCCATGTTTTATTTTAACTTTGGTTACAGCATTGCAAGTATTTAACAGTAAGAAAGTGAACAAATCATTTGGAAATACGAAATACATATTAAGGACCAAAAATTGATAGCAAAAGTTGCATTTAGAATATTAACTTGCAAATGATTTGCTATTATTTTGTCTATCTGTGATGTGTTTCTTAAAACGGTTTTTGACATGTAAAGTATAAAAAATATACAAAACGTATTATAATGTAGTGTACAAATTGTAGGTACTTAAAAAAACAAATAAGAAAAATATGTATGTATAATTGCATATTTTTGAGGCAATATTTTTTCTATTTTCAAATTCTGTAAAAATGATTAAAAGCACACAAACCTATTAATTAGTGCTTTCGTTCTGTTTTTTGTGTGGTTGGTTAAAGCATCAAAAAATAACTACATATTCACGTTTTAATATTGATATTTGTTAGGGCATTCAAAACAAACAATCTGTCTAGTAGAACTTTTAGCCCTCAAAGCCAGAATTGTAGAAAAAATGCAACCAGGCTAACTTTTTGTGTCTGGATAATCTAACATCTCCAATTTACCAGGGCACTCTGAATTGTTTGGAATAGCCAGTTTCACAAACACCGGTAACCACAAGCCACTGGTAAACCACAATATATCTGTTTCATAATGTGTGGTCGAGCCAAAAATGTTGGTCAAGCATCAGAAAACTTAAGTCAATCCTCATTTTTGGAACTAATGCTTAACCTGTAACTATGAGTTTAATAACCAGTGTAAGTTACCACCAATTGTGGAACTGGGCCTTAGTATAATACCTACAATATGTATATTTTTACTAAATTCACTGATAATTCAAAATAATTTGTGTGTAATGACTAAATGAAAAATTCTGAGGGTTTCTTACAACAACCCTTTTATTTTGTGGAAAATTGCTACCTTGCAGTGACCAACCACCATTTGTGCAATAACAATAAGAATAAGCAAATTTGTGATATTAGAAAACTGCTCTAAACCTTTAAAAAGAAATGATGCCTTGAAAAGTGTTATATTAAATTTATTGTGGTATGTTAGTTCTGAATAATTTAGATTAAATTGTCGTATCAGTAATATTTTTGGTCACAAATTTTACTCTAAGTGAGTTATTTTAATAAGAGCAAACAAATTCTAATCAATGCACTACATTCATTGTGTTTAAAATAGATAGTGCATAAATAACTCTTGCCTTCGCTGAAGTTTATAAACGCCCTTGTTAAATGTAAGAAAAAACTTCCCTAACCAAACTTTATTTTCCTGTCGTGTGGTGTGGCTTCGCTGCCGCCCGTCCGTTCGCCGCTCGTCGGGTGGAGTGGCGAACCGACTGCTCATCAGCATCCTCTCACTCTCTTAGAGCCACCAATGATCGTCGCGAACAAGCACGCAAGGATCTCAAAGGTCTCGAAGATACCGTCGCCAAAGAGCTGCAAACTCTACATAATTTGAGAAAACTGTTTGTCCAGGATTTGCAGGTTAGTGAATTTGAATAAATTCTTAGAGGGTTTTGTTTGACTGAATTTTAAATTTAAATTTTGTTAACAATAAGGATATTGTATGTTTTATATTCAATTAGTCGAAAGAATAGATATAGGGTCCGCGAAATATACATATTTTTTCATTATGAATAAATTGGTTACTTTTTCGAACACACTGATACTGTTTCCGATACGATTTAAGAACAAGTTGCAATTGGATCCTAAAACTTAAAGCTAACAGACTACTCACATTATTTGGTTGATTTTCCAATTTCTTTATTAACATTTAAGCATCTGTTCAATAATTATATATTTTGTTAGGCTCGTATGAAAAAGAACATGTCAAACGAAGAGAGCGAAGAAGATGGAGGATCGCTAGCACAAAAACAGAAGATCTCGTTTTTGGAGAACAACCTCGATCAGTTGACAAAAGTGCACAAGCAGCTGGTGAGAGACAACGCTGATTTACGATGCGAATTGCCAAAACTCGAAAAAAGGCTCAGAGTTACCATGGAAAGGGTTAAGGCACTCGAAACGGCATTGAAAGACGCCAAGGAAGGAGCTATGAGAGACAGAAAGAGGTAATAATTATATTAAATATCAAAATAGAAAGTTTTGTAATGTGTAGTAGCATTGGAACTGGATATTTCATGAATAAACAACAACCTTATTATATTTTTTGAAGACGGTGTTGGAAAACTTTCTGTGTTTGAACAGACTAACTCAATTTCCATAAAAGGATATCAAAAATACTTGGGTTCGTTTCAATAACTTCTAAAAACTATTCTGTTGAATTTTCTTTTTATCAAAATCATATCGAAACTTTTGGGAGGCAACAGCATCTGGGCTGCCTCCACTCAATTTATGTGAATCCTTTCATAGCTTGTTTCATCTTAGTGAAGTGGTCTTAGGTAATTTACAATAGTGTCCGTAGGAAGAATGCTATCTAGAACTGGGTCTTTTCCAACCTTGCCAAAGAATTATTTTTATTATATATTATTATTTTGAGCAGAATACTTGATGGATTCATTGCATAAAAATATTAATTCTTGTGCGGGTTTCGGCTAGGTTAAAATTTACTATCATAATTATTGGATGACTATCAGAGAGTGAGTAGTGGATTTGTGTCCTTAAATGGCAGACAATTCATTGCAGCTCCATGCGTAACCCTTTCGCTGCGGCATTACCTCCCAGAACCTTGCCGCTATATGTGAGTTCCTGGGTAGAGTATATACACAGTGGCAAAAACTAGCGTCTAAATTAATTTCTCACCAACCTAATATATTGATAAAATTGCTCGCATCCTATTATTCTTATATGCTATGTATGTTTTCTTTCTAGGTACCAATACGAGGTCGATCGTATCAAAGAAGCGGTTCGTCAAAAGAATTTGGCACGTCGCGGACCCGCAGCCACCATTGCGAAGCCAATCAGATCGGGACAGCACCATGCAGTAATTGCTGGTGGTGCAGGGGGTGGCGCAGCAATAAGGCCACAAGGCAACAATGCTGTGGATGATGCGCAAAAGCGCAGGTCGATCCTGGTGGGCAAAGGTAACGATGTTTAATTTTTTTGTAAATGCTTCTTCAATACCAGATGTCAATTTGGTACTTTTTTTGTTAGTTACTAAGTATTTTTCAGAAGAGAAGAAAGCAAGATTTTGCTGCTTGCTCTAAATTTAGATAGTAGAAGTCATTCAATTTCTCCTGAGGCAGCTGTAATGCCATGTATTGGATCTATTGTTATATGATATTAATTTTGTTGTACAAAAAATATATGCATACATTTCTATGTTATTTAGTTTTCTTCCGCAGGTACACTTATGTAAACATCAACATTGTAAAATAACTTATTTCACTTTCATAAAGGAACGATATTACGATTTGAGGGCTTATTAGAAGGTGGCCCTTTGGCATTAGATCTTTTTCGCCCATGAACTTTAGAAGTTTCTCAAAGAGGTTCCTAATTAGTAGGGGTTTTCATGACATACAGGAGTTCTCATAGTCTGGTATAGGAAGCAGGACGTAATTAGTGAACTTGACGCATTAACTTCAAATTTCAAAAAATTCTTCTGCAAAGCTTGAAGCCAGTATTATCAAATCCATTTAAACCTACTTGAAATATTCCAACTTAAATTTATAACACATCAAATGCTAAACGGAATCCAGGCTATGGCTTGCTAAGATCCAGCTTCCCTAGAACTTGAATGAAAGAGAAATGTTCTAATAAGAAGCCCAGAATAACATCAAACTTTCAATCCCCATAGTCTCTACTTGGTACTTTTATTTATTATACTTCTCATTAACAATCAATCAGCTACTGTTTTAAATACTATCAAGCACTAGACTTTCTCAGCATTTCTTGGACTCAACTTGAAATTATGAAAAGGACTGTTTTGTACTAGCATAATCATTAAAAGTGAACCACTGTACCATTCTGTGTATATAAATTTAGGTATACTGTTGATAAATGAACAAATATTAATTTACCAAATATTAACAATATTTTTTTTCCAGATTAAGCATTTCTGGAGAGATGGCTCGCCCCACACGTATAAAAAAAAACAGGGTGCTCCCTCCAGCGTTCTCTTTCAGGACTAAAATAAAATAATTAGAAAATTAACTCAACTGTAATAATACCAAAAATATTGCTGATACTATTCCCTATTTATCGATTCGCGGGGCATTTCAATCCCTGTTTAATTGTGCTTACAAAGCTTAGTTACATTTAGAAATAGGGTGCACTCAATTTCGATCACTAACAATAATAATTATTTAAAAAAAAAAGTAATTTACCTAAATTTTACAACATTGTAACCATGTGTCTTGTTTCCGATTCTCATAAAAATAAATAAATTAATAGTAACGACTGTCAGACTTATAACGGTTCTTGAAGATGAAAAAAGCAGTGATTGGTTATTGTTCAAAAAATATGTTATTTTAAAAATTAAATTGATATTTAGCACGCACAAGCAATGAAAATTTGAGGCATGGTGATGATCGACATCAAAGGAGAAAAGTTTGTGACCAAAAAATTGAAAAACTCGGATGTTGAAGCCACTCCAGTTGAATGCGTCAATTTGTAATGATTTGGATGACAAGATCCTACCACAAGACGAACCGGTTTTACATGCAGAAACCAGAGAATCATCAGATATTGTTCCGTAGGGAAATTTATAGAGAAAACCGTTTAATTTGAACCAAACTATAAAACAGTATCATCCGAAGATATTTCAGGACAAATTATCACGAGAATTGCACAGTAACTGGTGTTTTGACATTTTTTGACAAAGAATTTAAATTTTTGATTGATGAAATTCTCCCATAAAATATAACTCGTGCAATGGAAATATGTTTATAATTTTTGACAAATTTGCACTCATGCGTTTTCAAGTAAGAATGCCTTCGGACAAATTTCTCAAAAATTATCGATAATTTCCATTGCACTCATTATATTACTATTGATAATCAAACAGCCCATTCCAAAATTGATGAATGAACCATCAAAGAAATTCGATCTCTATTGACTCTGATATGACATAGCAACTGCATCAACGTTTCCCACTATCGTCGAAAATTTGGTATAAATACACACCGCACAAAAATTATCGCATCACCAAGGCTTTTAAATATTTTGGCTACAGTAAATTTATTTTAAAAATTTCCTAAGTATTCCCTGAATGGGCATGCTTTAACTGAAAAACTCGAGTCAAAAAACATGTCGTTTCTTCTTCTGTTAGGTTCCTGTTCACTTTTTTCGGGAAAATGCGGATAGGCATATATTCCACTTTGCAATTATGCTGTTCATTTCTGTGTTTTCTGCTTTGATAGATGCGATAATTTTTGTGCGGTGTATATTTCCAGACATCCAACATTTAATAAGTGATGCAAAACAGAAATACAGTTGCACGTGCGTCATTTTCCCATACTACAATGGAAATGCTGTGACCAAAATATAGTTACGCATAGTTTTTGATTTACAGGAGGTTGAATCGACGTACAATTTTTCACATAGAAATACCAAGTACTTGATACTGATAAAGTAAGAAATAACCATCAAGGGATGAAAACTTTTCATATCGCCAAAACAAAAATTATCCAGAAAGTTTAAAAGCTATGGACCAAAGAGTAAAAAAAAAACTGCTTCTTTATTAGTTTATAATGGACTGAATGACCCAAAGAGTCAGGGCTAAGACACGCCGGCGAAAACTTCGCCCCTTGCCTCATCACCTCTGATGCTTAACGCACTTGTAGGCCGAAGGACAGGATAAAATACCCATAGACTGTGAAGAAATATCCTTTTTTTTTATCCAATTCGGATGATTACACCTCAAAAATTTCAAAAACAACTAGATGCATCACATTGCATAATTCCCTTTTTTTTTCTCGAAAAAGGACGCTGCTACAGGAGACTAATAGTTATTTATGTCATAATGTCAAAAAATTGGTCTTTTTTGTGCCAAGCTCAAAGTTTGACTATAATTGAGTGAAGTACAAAAAAAATTGGGCCGAATGGCATACATTTCATCTTCAAAGGACTGCAATGTTTTCTTCCACCACTCTATCACTGCTTTTCTCATCCATTCTCTGGAAAATACTGTTTTATTGCTTGTTTCCAAATTATTACGTTTTACTCTATTAGGTTCCGTAGTATTTACTGATTGTCTGAGAGATGTTACGGTTTCAGTTTCATTACCCTCTTCAGACTCTTCATTTTCTAAGAGCAATTTAAGGCTTGTATTAGATTCGTCAGTGATTTTGTTGTGTTGAGAAGCCGCTATGCTATGTTGTATTGTTTGGAGCCCAATCATCACGTTTCAGTTTAAAAGTTGTTTAAACTTTCCTTACTTGAATCTTCTTCGAACTGTGGTAGAATCCTATCTGCCGAATTATCACTTTTCATTGTGAAAACTTCCGTTTGTTGATCTTGATGCTGGCGTGTGGTAGAATTTTGTCTTTAAACTCATCACGTTTCACTACAACAGTTTCTGTATTTTTCTTTTGCAAAACTTGAATTGTGGTAGAATCCTGTCTGCCGAATCGTTTTGCTTCACTGTTAAAGTTTCCATTTTCTCATTGCTAGAAACTAACCCAAATTATTACGTTTTTCTCTATAAGGTTCCATAGAATTTACTGATTTTCTATGATCAATTCAAGGTTTGTATTAGCTTTGTCCGGAAAAATATTTGTTGATTCTGTAGTTTTTGCATGCAGAACCAAAAGAAAATGTACAACCTAAACGACACTCCATTAGATAAGGTGGGGTAGATTTTCACCCCATACACTCTGCACACACACAAAATAATCTGCACTAAAAATTTAATATTGGGACTGGGGAATTTTCTCGAGAATTATTATAAGTTTGACAATCGATTTAGGGTCAGTTTTTTCATTACCTTCTAGTTAAAGTTCAGTTATTTTTTTTCCTTTGTTTAACTATTTCACAAAAATGTTTGATGGGATTATGTATTACATACCGAGTGTGAAAGTTTCATGACTGTTGAGATAATTTAACTGCTGAGACACAAAGTGTCTCAAAGTTTACTTTATCTCGAGATTCAAGACAGAAATGAACTTTTCACCGAGTTGTGAATACTATTTTATTCACATCAATGAATATTTGAATATGTATTTTTAATAAAATATGCTAAAATTGCCAACAATCAAATACTTTTCTAGTTTAACTGACAATTACAAATGACTGAACTTTAACGTTTGAGAAAAAACGAGCCCTAAGTGAGTTAAGGACATTTTTATTATCTGTGCTAATAATATTATTGGCTATTAATCACTGTGTTTTTTTGAATGGAGGTATCGCTTTAATTGTTCAGAGCTATTGCTTAAAATTTAGTGGAATATTTTGCCAACCCTCTACTGTTTTCACTTTTGTAGGTTTTTTTTTGTGCAATACCTAAGTGTTTTTATTCATGTCTTTATACTTACTGAAAGGATAGTTTTCTATAAATGAAGAAATTCATAATAACTTGGGTACATTCACCAGGCGGCAGCAGTAGAGTAGTTGGGTTTTAGAAAGTGATTATATGTAGCCACTTTGCTGAGAAATGGGAAAAGCATAATTTGCTTCAGACTTGCGCAGTCCTGTGCTTGAGTCTAGAAACTAAAATAAAGATTGAGATGAAATCGATACATAAGTGAGAAGAATTTTGAACAATGAGGACTCATTGATGTTTTAACTGGATTGACTATTACCTGCTGATGCCTGTAGACCGTACCCATCAAGATGCATTGCTCTAAAAATTTAAGAGGGCTGACAAAAAAAAATTGTTTGCAATTGTCTAAATTTTTCTACTTGTGAGGAAATGGTACTAAATTCTTAGATTGTTACGCGTTACACATTATTTTTTATTTAAATTCAACTCAAAGGTTTGTAGAAAATATTGTTGTCATTCAAAAAAAAAACTAAGCTGCACTTCTTATATTTCATACCAGAACATTAATTTTAGATGAATTGTAGGTAGTTTTTTTATATATATTTTGAGTTTTGTACACAATATAAAGAATCATATTTTGGTTAGTTATTTATAATTATTTTTCTCTCCACGATATAATAATATCGTTTGTTATGTATATTCATAGCAATGTGTTTAGTTTTGTATTATAAAAATAAATATTTGTTTTGGTTTAATGCTTTTCCTAGGTTATTACCATTATTTAAATATATTTTTATTTGAAAAGAAAATAGAGTGCTGGCTTGACTGGTGCAAGTCGAAATAGCTACTCTGCAAAAAAAAAAAAAAAAACGGATTTTAAAAAAATGAACTAACTTTCCTAAGCACTGTGCAACTTGTAGGAAACTAGTGTGATATGTTGAAAATTTTGTTGCTAAATTTTGATGCCTTTTTTTCCTTTTGGAAAATGACTATGTTCTAGCAATAAAATTTTCAAAATTATTTTTTTATTTGTGATTACGTTCCTTTTCTCCTTGCCTCCTTTCTTGAAATTATGTTTTTTTTTTTTCTTGAAAAACTCAAATGTTCTGCATTTTGCATTGAATGAACATTCACAATTTCCACATGAAATGTATCTCAGGATGCACCAATGCATAATATAATAATATAATTTTCAGATGCACAGTTTTGATGTTAATTTTCAGGATATCGTTTTCTGTAGATACATAATAGTCTAACAAAATTTGGTTTTATTTTATTCAGCGGCTTGAGTACATGTAGTTATATATATTTTTAGTGAATGCTTATAAGTCAATGATGAAATTTATTTATTTAATTCATGGAAATTATATTCTAATAAACAGCCGAAGAACGAAGAAGTCTAATTTTTTATTTATGTCCTTTAACAGTAAAGAGAAGTGGCATGATGCTAATTCTCAAAAGTTTTCCAGCGAAGTCCCGAATCAATCCTAAATAGGCTATAATTGATGTGGAATGTTTTTCTCGTGCTTGAATAAGCTAAAAAGTAATTTTTCCCTTAGAAGGGGCCAGGGTCATAAATAAGCCATAATCATGTGGCAATTGAAAAAAAAAATCACAAGAGTGTACAGTTATATTTTTAGCCCACCTACAGTCTTAAGTATGGCTAGTGGTAGTAGGCAAAAGATATGCATAAATACAAAAGCTGTATAAATTTTTGAGTGGGATCTTTGAAATTTTTAGACAAAATAGTTCCCTGTTACAAAAGCACGAAACAAACATAGCTTGAGGTGTTTTTAATGAACTTCTTGTAGGTATATTTTAGTAGAGATAGTCAGTACTCAACGAATTTATTTATTTACAACATCCTAATTATTTACTACCTGCATAGGTCAAGCAAAGATTGCAGAAATTACCTAAATGTGACCAAAAGAGCACAAATGCAAAACAAACAGTAGAGAGTATTTTATTATTAAATAAATCACATAATGATACTACAATAACTATGGCAGTGAGAAACAAATATCCTATCATTTATTACCTGAGAAAAACAGTGAAATTGTTTTCAATGGTCACAATTGTTGCTATCAGTTGTGCTGGCACCTTCAGCACTGGAAACTATAACACTTGAACCTTCTTGCTGCCCTCCAACATTGCCCAGCTGATAAGAAACACCTGCAGACCCACTGGAGCCAGAATATGTTCTAGCTTCACCTCCATCAGAGCTTTGTCCAAGAGACACATAAGTTGGTGATTGAGAAATACCACCACCAGAAGTATTCTCCCCTTGACTGGAGCTTTGTTCAATCGGAACATAATTTGGTGATGATTGAGGAGCAACATTGGAATTACTTATAGCTTCAGAAATATGACTTGCGGCATGATCACCGTCCACAACTCCATTCACAGAATTGATATGCACAAACTGTGGTTTTTGCACGATATGTCCATCAGAAGACTTTACAACTGCTTGGCTACCGGCGGGTAAATTGGCAATCACTTGCCCCGTAGCACCGTATTTGCCTTGAATTTGTGCAATTGCATCTTGAGCTTCGTTTTGGGTCTTGTATTTGATAAAGAACACTTCCGGTTTGGTAGGTTGAGATGGCGCGGCATTTTTAGTTTGAAGTTTAGCATCAGTTTCAGGTTTTTTAACGAGGACGTAGACCAGAGTTTTTTCGTCGTTCTGGGGTGGTGCTGGAAGGTTTATGGTAGCCTGGGTTTTGTAAGCTGGGGCTTTGATGAATATGATTTTATATGTCTTCTTGGGTGGCAATGAAGGTAAGTCATATCTAGCTTTAACTACTTCATCATCGTCATGGGGAGCTTCAAAGAAATAAAGCTGTTTGGTTACTGAAGCTGACGCTGCTGCTGAAGCTGAAGCTTCGGCATTCGTAACTACACTGTCACTATTTGCCGAACCAAAGTTATAGTTACTGTTTCCTTGATTTGCACCAAAATCGGATGCTAATGAAGAACTGACACTAGAATATGATTGACCATCACTAGCACCATTTCCAAGTGTACTAACTCCTGAACCATAGTTATAGTTATTGTTTCCTTGATTTGCTCTAGAATCGGATTTAAATGAACCAACACTTGAAGATGATTGACCATAGGTTGCACCATTTCCAAGGGCACTACCTCCTGAACCAAAGCTGTAGTTAGGGCTTCCTTGATTCACACCGGAAGATGCTCGACCATAACTAGTTCCAAGATTCGGTGATGCACTATTTTCAGATTGATAATTGTAGCTGTTTGCTGGTTGTTGTTGAGAGTATGGTACAAAACTGACGGAAGGCTTATTTGAATATTCATTGGATAAAGATGATCCGGAATTAAATTCCAACGTCCCTGAATGGTTACAGTTGCAGTCAGGCTTAGGAGCTGCAATAGCTAATGCCACCAAAGTTGTTACCTAGAAAAGCGAATTAATTTTTAAAATCTATTTATTTATTTGTTAGATTTAAATAGATACTTACCAGTAAAAAGATGTTCATGTCGTATGGTGGATCAAATATTTCTGAATAAGATCATGATTGAAGTATGGGTTTAAATACCATTCCTCACGAATTTCCAAGGCTAAATTAACATTATTATTATTTTTAGGAATACCCAAAAATACTAATGTGGATTACTATTGGGATTGCGTAATCGCTATTTAGCAATGCAGTGCTAGACAAACACTAAGCTGGTGTTAAATGCTTGGTCGGAATAACTGAAAATATAGGTATATGACTATGAGCCATTGGTAATTTTTAAAATAAAATTATTCAATGTTCTTTTTCAAACTAATTAGGTTTATTTTTATTCACCTAGGTAGGTACGTTAAACGATAATGAGGGTGATAATAATTATTGATGATCGAAGGTACCTACTAAATTTGAAAAAGACTTTTGGGCATTGGGCACCAGGTATGATTCAATGTTTTTCACAGAGTCAGTTTTTAAATAAATAAACAGCAATGTATGCTTATTTTCTCCTTTGCTCAAAAAAGACATACCAAGGGGCAACGCTGTTCATTTTCTTCATCAAGTGTGTTTCTATGAAACTATTGTAAAGGAGTTTCAAAATGCGTTAAAAATCATGTTCCAGAAAAATCCAATAATTCACGCATTATTTTCAAGAATATTATACTAATATACTGTAATATGTTTGCGCTCAAGTTATGGAGAGAGGTTGTTCGTTTTGCCTTTATTACCCGAGTCAAGATAGTTCAAATTTTGGGTAAAGCTAGACAAAAATAATATAAAGCTAATTTTTGGTATATATCATAATTTAGGGCTAAATACCAATATACTAAAAGTCCTGGAGAATCCTCCTTCCGCAACTCCCTTTTTTCGCCCCCCAAACCGGCCAAACCCCCCATTCTAATATTTTGGTGATTTCCTCGAAAACTATCCACTTTTAGGAAAAATGTCAAGAAAGCATTTTAGAAGCTGACAAAATATACCTTGCAACGCCGTACTGCGAGCCCATCTATTATCACGTGGTACGCACCAGTGGCGTATCAAAATAAAGTTTGCCCCGAGGTTAATTGAAAGTTCTTTAATGACACGAATTTACTGATTTTAACCAAAAACTATAAGCTTGGTGAAAAATATCGTTACAATTTTTTTTGTAGGTGATAAGATTGCAAATCCATTGATGTATAGAATAACCCCCTAGAACCAAAAATATTGAAACTGCTGTTTGATTAATTTTCTATTTAGTTTCTAAACAACATTTTAAACATCTTTCTCAAGAGTAGAATCCTCTGTAACGGTTTCCACAATATTATTGCACGTTTCGTCATTGCAAGGGGAACAAAAGTGTGCTACACTTTTGGCCTGAGTGTCTACATGAGCATCTACTAGCGCAATTGGTTTTGCAATGACAGTAAACCATATAGAGAAGTGATTCGGGTGCGGGAGGTAGCGCAGTTTTGACAGGCAACAATTGTCCAAAAGAAGAGCTTTAAAGTGTCTTTTAACATCGCTTGCACTTTTATTTTGATTAATGTTCCATCCGGCAACATCGCACAATGAAAGTTCAGAGGAATATATCAAGTACATAACCTTAAACAACACTGCGGTGAGTTCAGAAGTGATAAAGTAAAGTATTAGTTCGCTTTTTGTCGAATTATACACGTTACAAAGAAAGAAGGAACGATTACTTCTGAACTCGCCCCTGGGCTCGTACTCTGTAACGGATAGTGATCGTTATCCGTATCGCTATGGCACTTCCTGTTTTCTTCTCTCTTTTCGACATCAGTACCTATATAGAGAGGGGACGTCAATAGAACAAGAGGAAATGTCTCTATTCGTTACAGAGTCCCAACCCTGAATGTAAAATATATGACGCAGATACGTGACAAACTCGCTTATTCCCATTAGACTCTGTTGCACAAGCGCAGGCAAGATAAAAAAAAAGTCGCGCGGAGCGCTAGGCCCTCCTGTTATTTGGCAAATTGATAGCTGAGATGTCTCGGATAAACTTCAAATTTTTTTTTTGGCTGAAGCAATTGCGATAAACTTCTCATAGATTCGCAAGTAGACTACCTTTTAATGGTCGTTTTAGAGAAAAATATGTTACTTCTAAAAAAATGATGCTTAGACCAAAAAAACTGATAGATAGAATAAATAGCAAAAAGTATATTTTTTAAAAGTAACCCTTCATTTGATACGCCACTGGTGCGAACCACGTGCACCTATTATATATGGAGTCGCAATATGTCGTTAGAAGGTAAATTTTGTTAGCTTCAAAAATGCTCTCTTGAAATTTTTCCTTAAAGTGGATAGTTTACGAGAAAATCATAAAAATATTAAGAGGGTGAGGGTTAGAGGGCGAAAAAAGGGGGTTGCGGAAGGAGGATTGGCCAGGACTTTCATTATGTTGCAATTTATCCCTCAGGCATGATCTCTACCAAAAATCAGCTTCATATTATTTTTGTCTAGGTCAAATGCTATCTTGTGGTAGAAAACCGTCGCGTTTCATCGTCGGTTTAAAATTCAGTCCGAGCTTGATTTTTGGCACGACGGTTCAACATTTCGTACACACGAACGGTTTTCTACCACACACATCGGTTTTGGAACGACGTGTTTCATCGTAGCGATGAAAACCGTCGTGTTTCATCGTAGTGTGTGGGGCCCTGTAGAAAGCCGTCGTGTTTTTCTACCAAAGGGCCCCACAGACTACGATGAAACATGACGGTTTTCATCGCCGCGGTGAAAACCGTCGTGTTTCATCGTAGTGTATGGGGCCCTTAATCAGTGGCGACGCGTGACTTGTAGTCTGGGGGGAGGTAATGAGAAGATGCAACCACCCGCTAACGCGGAAATTTGAAGGTCATTCACTTTTCCAGAACAATTATTTCCTTTGTGAAGAAAATAAAGCGTCGGGGAGGGTAATTACCCCCCCCCCCCCCGACGCGACGCCCCTGCCCTTAATTCGACAGCTAAAAATAATTATGAAATCGTAAAAAAAGCTAAACAAGGATCCGAATCCGGTATCGCTAACTAATAAAAGTGTGATTGGACCATGTTAGAGATACTTAATAGGGCGTTAATGAAAAAGTAAATGTCGAGCTAATTTATAATGATTGAAGCAAATATCGGATTTTACTTCCTTTCATGTTTAAGTAATGGTAAGGTTCTATTTATTTATTGTCTTATGGAAAAATAATAATAAATATGATTTGAAGTTTAGCGTTAATTGATTTTGCATTGAAATTTTTTAATTAATTAACATTCGGCCAATTTTGAGAAGTTGTGAAAAAAAATTAAATAGAAGATTATTGAAATTTCAATGTCGATAATAATTTAGGATGAAAATAAGTACACTCTTCCATACACGTCCTCGACAATTTTCATTGAATATAGCAAATATTTGGTACCCTATTTAAAAAATTCAACGAGAGCGTTATCGAAAAATTTTAGCGGCAATATTTGCACTGTAGGAACGAGTACACGGATAATTGCCTCGGACATATCCATAGAGATTCCATTGTGAATTTATGATGGCAGCGACAATCATATAAATTATGTCAGTTTGAAAAGTGCCATCATTTATTGAGAGATATCAAAAAAAAAATTGATGGAAACCGAACCAAAAATCAACAGACAATACATATGGCGACAGTTGGCTCCGTCAAGTTATTAGCCCCCCACATGCGAATTTTCTAAAAAAATTGCAACCACTTATTGTGCTCGAAGTGTGCTTTACTGTGCCGATGATATTTTGAAGTGTGCCGTTTCGATAACAAAGTTATAGGAAAAAATAGATGAGGGGCTAACTTGACGCTCAGCCCCCCCGAAAATTTTGGAAATCAGATGAAACCAAAAAGGATTCTTATCCAATATGAAATGTGCTGAACTGTGCCGTATCAGGTTTTTCTCAAAATTTCCATATTCGGTCATTTTCCGAGAAAATCCTACTGGGGGGCTTGACGCTAAGCCCCCCTAAAATTTTGGAAATCAGATTAAAAAGAATTGAGTTCTTATCCAATCTACAGTGTGCTGAACTGTGCTGTATCAGGCTTTTCTCAAAATTTCCATATTCGGTCATTTTCCGACAAAATCCAACTGGGGAGGTAACTTGACGCTCAGCCCCCCAAAAATTTCGAAAATCAATTTGAACAAAATTGTATTTTTATCCAATCTGAAGTGTACTGAACTCTGCTGTATCAGGTTTTTTAAAATTTACATACTTGTTGGCCTATTTTCCGACAAAATCCTACTAGCTAACTTGAGGTTCAGCTCTGAGAATTTACATACATACCATCCATTAGGTTTATATCGGGAAATGGCCAAACATGAAAACTTGGAATAACCTGATCAGGCACAATTCAGCTCACTTCAGATTTAATAAGAATCAGAGTCAGAGTCCGTTTATCTTTGATCTGATTTCTAAAATTTGGCATCAATTTAGCCCCCTCTTAGTTTTTTGTCGGAAAATGACCGAATATGGAAATTGCGAAAAAAACCTGGTACAGCACAGTTTAGCAGACTTCAGAGTGGATGAGAATTCAATTTTGTGCAAACTGATTTTCGAAATTTTGGGGGGGCTGAGCGTCAAGTTAGTCCCCCAGTAGGATTTTGTCGGAAAATGTCCGAATATGGAAATTTTTAGAGAAACCTGATAAAGCACAGTTCAGCACACTTCAGTTTGGATAAGAATTCAATTTTGTTTAAGCTGATTTCCAAAATTTTGGGGGGGCTGTGCGTCAAGTTAGCCCCTCATCTATTTTTTCCTATAACTTTGTTATCGAAACGGCACACTTCAAAATATCATCGGCACAGTAGAGCACACTTTGAGCACAGTAAGTGGTTGCAATTTTTTTAGAAAATTCGAATGTGGAGGGGCTAACTTCACGCAGCTGGCGACAGTGTAATTATGGATTTTTGTGCTGACGAAAAATAAACATTGGATAGAAAATACAAATCAACATTTTGGTGAAAATATTATCGAGCTAGGCATATGTAAGCAGAATGGCGAAGACTGCAAAGAATTTAAGGACAACCAAATTTCCACGGCCTTCGGTCCCGGGCAAATGGTAAATCATCAGATGGTGTGAAGAATTTCTGACCACAAAAGCTTCAGCACTAGAAAATTTAATAAAAATAGGCCTTCTTCAAAACTGCATCCATTAAGGGAAGTGTGTGTCTCATGACAGTAGTTTGATGAACACCGAGTTCTTCAGCTACAGAATTCTCAAAATCTGGATCTAAAAAGTGCCGCGGAGACTTTCATCTTACCAGTCAAAACGCGGTCAAATCGATATTAATAACTTTGTTAAATCATCATTTTTGTAAAATGATTTTTTTTCTTTTACGTACCTACATTCATAATATATTCTCTCAACTGTCAGAGACTGGTAGTATCGTTTGGCACTAAATTGACCTTTGTGTCTCATTTTGTAAATAGGAGATTCATAAGTTTGGATCTGGAACCTGAATGAGGGTTCGACTGTTCCCATATTGCTTCAAGTTACTTTATTATGCCTGTATATTCTCGTTACTACGCGGATACAATTATATACACTACGATCGAATCATCCACCAGTGGATGAAATATTGACTTTTGATGGCACCTACTTCTGCCTTCCTATTTTGCCTACCATTTCTTTTCAAACCAATCAGAGAAGACCCGATTCACCAGTGTTTCACATTCTTTTTCATTATGTATGTACTTTGAAAAAATGGCTTTGCCCTTGCAATGAATAAAATAAAACAAAAATGAAATGAAAAACGATTTTTTATCTAAACTTTCAAAAAAAAAAACTGAAATTCAAATAAAAAACGTTTCTTCTAAACAATATCATTATTCCACCCCAGCAAAAATCGTACATTTTCACCCTCAGGATTCTGCGCAAAATCTAAAATAATTTGTGCGTGGAATCCATAGGACGATTTTTGACGTTTTGGAACAAATCTAATGTTTATACTAAAAATTGAAAGCACTCAAATACATACAATAAGTTTAGCAATTAAAAAATAATGTTGTAAAAAGTATATACCTAAATATTAGATTACTATATAAATTTTAATAAAATTACACACTATAATGTCTATAAAATTATACCAGATAAATAATGTAAAAAGTAGGTATAATAATAGGGACATTTAGAACAATTAAAATAAAATCAAAAATCACCAATCTATTTGCTAACTCTAGTTACTTAATTAATTCAAGATAATGGCAGGTAAATAAAAATGGATTTATGAATAGCGACATTTGTGGCTATTCTATACAGACCCGACCAACCTACTAGACACAGGGAGTAATGAGTCAATGGGTGCCATTGAAGCCTATGTGTCTATTAGCCTAGTCCTGTCTGTATATTTATCCAGTGGTACTTATGACCTAACTTTTCCATATATTTGGAATTTTCGTTTCCTTTTCTCTGCGGTTGTAAAATTGTTTTAGCCGCAAACAATTAACGAAACAAAGTAATTAAGGTTAAAAAGTGACGCTGTCAATGCATAAAGTCTGAACTCGTGTATCGGACAATCAACCAGTGTATAGTTGCGAACAAATCGCTTTTTTCAGCTCTTTTTAATCATTCCTATTTTGGATATAGACACTTATTCATCTTGCAGTTGCTCAGCTCACATTGAGAAAAAATAAAGAGTTTTTATCACATTGGTCGTGTTCACCAACACTCAGCGTGTTGAGTGATTAGTAAGTGGCTTTGTTCCAACAAGTGGAATACACAAGGTATAACAGCTTTGATTGGCCTAGAGCTGATTTTCATCTGTTTTCAACAAAGCCGCTGACTAGCCACTAAACATGTTGAGTGCTGGTGAACGCGACCATTTTTAACTTACACATTTTCTTCATGTCCTTATGGGGTTTAAACTTAATTTGGAAGGATTACCAATTTAGATAATGGCTATGCAACAAATACAATGCAAATATGAAATTAAAAATATCTTGAACCTTAAACTAAACCTTACACTAAATAGATGCAAGAAATCCCTTGCCTGAAAGCCCACAAGACTCTTCAAATCGATTTCACTCTATTGAATATTAATTATTACGAATAGCTAAGGCTTGCTCCAATTCGGCACGTTTCTGCTGAACTTTAGTGTAAAAATAGCGACAAACCGCTTCTTGTGCCCAAGGTTGATGAAAGAAATCAGATCTTCTTTCTTCTTCAGGATTTCCAACAACATCCGTCATAGTCTGAAACGAGATTTAAATGAATAATAATGTGGTAGTAAATAAACATAGTTTCTCTTAAATTTTTTAAGAAGAAGTTACACAAATGATTAAGATTGCCTTATTAGAAAAGTGCTTATTTATTTATTTAGTTATTTATTTATTTAACAATTTCAACGGGCAACAGCCCAATTTAGTACTCACTAAGAGAACAGAAGCTACAAGTACTTGTACGAATAATACTTGTTCTTGTACTTTAAATTAAACTATTTTAATATTGAATGCCAAAAATGTCAATACAATTTCCCATGATTTCATTTTAGCCTCTTCAAGTGATTGTTCAGGTAATAGCTTTTTCATGAGAATTGATTTGATTTCAAGATACTTTTTAACATCTGTACACTTTTGTAATAGGGAAAATTTTGACTATATTTTGTCCAGGCATAACTATTTCCAGGATATTCTCTTGAGTGTACATTATGTCCATGATAGTTAGTCTCTGCAATATTATATCAATCAACATTACTCAATACCAATAAAGTGAGTCATATACAGGGTGGGGCACGAAAAACTTCCTACCCAGGTTTTCTAAGGTGTTAGGTGATTAATCGAAAATCGATCGAACACATCAATTTTTGTTTTTTGAGGGACACAAAACCCCGCAAAATTTCAAATGGCGAGTAATACGTCATTTAATAGTTATTTTTAATATTTCCATTAGAATTATATCCAAAAGTTTTAAGTTGCTACTACACACATCAAAATGGTCTTGGGAACAAGATAATACCTAAACTTATCAGAAATTTTTTGCTGATTGTATTTATAAAATATTTAAACTAAACAAGCATGCAAAAAAAGCTGATATGGTAAATTTGATAAGATTTGTTCAATAAACAATACCCAGGTTATCTTTAATAAAAGTTGTTTTGTCTTAAAATTGAGAGAAAAAAATTTCTCGTTTCCTAGACTATTTTGATGAATTAGTCCGGGGGCCGAGGCCCTTTTTTCCAAATCATTAATAACAAGCTAGTTTTTTCAATGCAGCTTCATTTCACCGAGACGCCCAAGTTTTTTCTCACGAAAATTGCGAAAACAGGTAGGTAGCTAACATGCTGCGCAGGTGTAAAACATGTCGATTTGGTGATTATGAAAATTTAATTAATAACAGTTAGTTTTTTAGCTAAATGTTGAGATAATTTTATGAATAATTTGAAACAACATTTGTCCGACAAAATAAAGGGTTTGGTCTATGATGTCCCCTCCCTCAAACATGTAGCAATTACGTTACATAAAAAATGATTAATAACCAGTTGATTTTTTCACTGTAGCTTAGTAAATATTACTACAATTAAATAGTCACACTGTCCTACAAATAACGAGGTAACTTTTTCCAGTCCTACACTCAAAAGTTGTCGACTTCACGGTAATATTCTTCTCATTAATAACTGTAGGTCACAAAAGCCACATGATAGATTAACATATTTGCTATCGAAATTAATCAATGTCCTACAAAAAAGTAGGTAGTTATCGCTAGTCCGACTAAAAGTATGTAACCGTTGAAAAACGTATTCGCCGCGATGAGAAGTTATATTAATATGAAGTATAGGCTTTATAATCATATGTAATGTTGACTACATTAGTGTGTTCTTTGTCCCTGTTTGTTGCGATTTTCGCATTAGAAATGGTTATTCATGATTGAATACGTATACTTGAAATTTTATAAAGCTAGCTTGAATCGAATATTGTATATAAATACAATGTCAAATCAAATCAAATCAAAATATACTTTATTGTCCGAAAAACCAAAAATAATTTTCCATTGACAAAGCTTTAGTTCCTAAATACTAGAGTAAAACATTTAAACAAGTGAATAAATAAAATAATTACAACAGTCAAAATAAATACACAAAATCAAAAATATCCAATACAGTAGAATATTTGTCAATAGCATCTCTCAACATTTATCCATAGTAAAATTTTTGCTCAAAAAAATACAAACCAGGTTTTCCTAAACTATTATCATCAAAAAATTCTTGCAAACTATAATATGCTTTTTTGCACAAAAAACTTTTCAAAGCGGTTTTAAACCTTCTTAGACCCAGTTGTACAATCTCGGTTCAAAACAAAGTTCAACTGAACTCGATTGGTACTTGAATTTGCTGTCAGCTATTAATCAAATTCTATCAATTTTGACAGCAATGCATTTCAAATGGGGAAGTTCAAGTACCAATCGAGTTCAGCTGAACTCTGCTTTGAACCAAGATTGTACAACTGGGCCTTAGTTCTTTTATTTCTCTTATGTGAACAGGTAAATGATTAAATATTTTTTTACTTTTATGTGTGTCCAAGATAAGGAGGGCCAGTATGGGGATCTGGGAAACGGTAAGAGATACGAGGCCGTATGTATCAAATTGGGGTTAATAATTTTTGTACTACTTTTTTTTGATCGCAACTGTACATACAGGGGTTTTCATTTCGAAACTTGCCATCCACGTTATCTGCGTAAAGAGACAGATTTCTGGAAATCGCCGGAACACGTCAACAAATTTGTTCAAAGAGAATGTCTTTTACCGAAAACTGGACTTTGCCCCTACCACCTGGGCCCTGGGGGTTGAGGGTTGAAGGGGACGAAGTCCAGTTTTACGTAAAAAACGTAAAGTCTGTTTTTTTTTAAAGATAAAAGTCAAAATGACATTATGTTGGCAGTACAATGTAAAATTGTCAATGCTTCAAATTTTATATGTAGAAAAGGCTTGCGTTGCCAACATAGTTACTAAATTTTTGACTTGGGGAATTATCTTTAAAAAAAAAACAGATTTTAGGTACCCCCTCAATAAATTTGTTGACATGTTTCGGCGATTTCTAAAAATCTGTCTCTTTACGCAGATAACGTGGGTAGCAAGTTTTGAAATGAAAGCCCTGTACATATTTATGTATAATATGCATAAGGCTATTTTCGAAATTCTCGAATGTAGGGATGAGAAATCTTACCTCTTTAGGACAATGTGACCATTCAATTGTAGTTATATTTACCAAACTACAGTAAAAAAATTAACTGGTTATAAATCGTTTTTTATGAGCCAGTTATTGCTACTATTTTTGAGAAAGGGGACACTGCAGACCAAACCATTTATTTTGTGGTTCAAATCGAATTTCGAATTATTTATAAAATTATCTCATAATTTACCTGAAAAATTAACTGTTAACTGTTAATAATTACATTTGCATAATCACCTAATCAACGTCTTTTACATCTGCTCACTCTAAGTAGCTACTACTTTTGCAACTTTTCGCAATAGAAAAGTTAGGCGTATTATGAATACGAAGATTGATGAATAAAGTATTACCGTGAAGTCGACAACTTTTGAGTGTAGGACTGAAGAAATGTACCTCTTCATTTGTAGGACAGTGTAACCATTTAATTGTAGTAATATTTACTAAGCTACATTAAAAAAATCAACTGGTTATAAATCATTTTTTATGTAACGTATCTGCTACATGTTTGAGAGGGGGAACAGCCTAGATCAAACCATTTATTTTGTCGGACAAATGTTATTTCATATTATTTATGAAACTATCTCAACATTTAACTACAAAATTAACTGTTATTATTTACATTTGTATGATCACTAAATAGACATGTTTTTCACCTGCGCACTCTGTTAGCTACCTGTTTTTGGAATTTTCGCAAAAGAAAATTTGGGCGTCTTATCAAAATGAAGATGCTCACGAAGATTTAACCGGTTATTAATGAAAAAAGTTAAATCATGAAATCGACAACTTTTGAGTGTAGGACTGAAAATAGTTACCTGTTTATTTGTAGGACAGTGTGACCATTTAATTGTAATAATATTTACCAACCTACATTGAAAAAATCAACTTGTTATTAATCATTTTTAATTCAACGTAATTGCTACATGTTTGAGGAGGGGGACATCATAGACCAAACCCTTTATTTTGTCGGACAAATGTTGTTTCAAATTATTCATAAAATTATCTCAATATTTAGCTAAAAAACTAACTGTTATTAATTAAATTTTCATAATCACCAAATCGACATGTTTTATACCTGCGCAGTATGTTAGCTACCTGTTTTCGCAATTTTCGTGAGAAAAATGTTGGGCGTCTCGGTGAAATGAAGCTGCACTGAAAAAACTAGCTTGTTATTAATGATTTGGAAAAAAGAGCCTCGGCCCCCGGACTAAATGTATTTACTCTGCCGAAATGGCGGCTTGTCAAAGTTGTGTAGTTTTTACCTCATAATACCAAAACGACAGATTTTTAAAGTGAATAAACATGAACCATTTTAAACTGAAAATATTTAAATTAAATAACAATGTTATTTTCTCGGTTATTTTTTATTACTGGATAGGTACCCTTAGAATATTCGTTGTGTTGTTATGATGTAAAAATCACGCTGATTAGATAGGTACTCGGAAAAAATGAATTTTTCTTGACTTTGACAAGCCGCTTTTACAGCAGGTTAAACAGTAGCAACTTAAAACTACGAGGATATAATTTTATCAAAAATAGCTATCAAGTGCGTATCTCTCGACCCCCTTTTCCATTTGAAATTTGAAACCCGTCACCCCCGCTTAGGGGTTGACAGGTAGGGGGTGGAAATACCAATAAAATGTGTCTCCGAAAAGACACAAATTGATGTGTCCAAGTGAATTTTGATTAATCACCTAACACCTTAGAAAACCTGGGTGAAAATTTTTTCGTGTCCCACCCTGTATGTCATTTCTACCAACATGGTACTATGGGAAAAACTGCATTGTTGTTCTGGCAATTGAAGACACACAGTAAAAATAACATAACAACTGTGGTGCCAGCTATGTGTGTTTTCGTGAGTTTGAATAATGTTCAGTTCAGAGCCCAGAACAGCACAAGTAATTTACAAGTATATTATATATTAGAATTTTAAAATACATGATAGTTACTTACTTTTAGGTCTCTAGTTTGCGAAACGATCCACTTATGAATAAATTGTTGCGGATCCTTAGCAAAACTCAAGAAGAATTCTCTATTTGTTTTCAACTGATTGATTGTGTCAACAGTTTCATGAATTTTCGAATCTAATCCTTGAATTTCTTGCTGACTCGCAGTGCTCAACAAGAAATTATTCATTTGCGTTTTTAATGTATCATCAACTTCCACATCAATATCATAACAAGCAGTTTGCTTACTTTCGGCTCCTCCCTCCACTGAAATTACGTGATTTATTACAATTGGATCCGGTGGATGTAATAAAGGATTTAATCTTTGTGGAATTTCAGCGAATTTCATTTTGGAACAATTAAAAATCTGTTCCAAATATTTGTCGCAAATGATATATTCCCGCTCGTGAGTATCCTGCAACCTGAAAAGGCATAAAAAAATAATATATTGAGAATCACACATTTTACCATAGTGAAGTAACTTAGTTTTAAAACAGGGCGTCATATAAGGAATGAATGATATCAAGTTTGAGTAAAAATATTTTTATAAATTGATAATATTCCAGGCAATTTTAAGCAAGACAGTTCAGCAAAGGCACATCCAGTGAGCTGTGCCAAGCACCTTTCAGGTTTGTATATTTCTTGATGGTAAAGTCACTTATTGTATCGCTTTCTGGCATTTTTGTAGCCAATTTTTATTTTGCAAAGTAGAGACCTGTGAACATTTTAAGCCCTTGTTCATTGAACAGGGGACATCAACATCAACTTGCCTGCTTATATTGGAGGCTGACTATCCTATTCCAAAAACCGCATTTAGACGAAGGTGTATAATAGCTTGACTGAATTTTATGGAGACAATCTGGGATTTTTCTTTTTCTGGGCCCACTCCAGTGTTTTACTGATTTTCTTATATCTTGTGTCTGTTTGTTTATTGGTTATCATGTGCAATGCTCAAAATCTTTATTGCTCATTTAGATATTCTTCTATTGTTCTGACTTTCTAATTTCTGATAATTGTTTTCTTATTTTTTTTCTGTACTTGCACCTAATAGGCACATGTAGTTTCGTCAAAATAACAAATAGCTGACTTACTTGTGGGTTTTGATATACTGCCACAAAGCAGAAATAATAACTGGCCGGGTTTGCGTATGTACTCCAAGTAGCCTGGCAAGCCTAGGATCGAGTTTAAACTGCAAAGGCTGGTAATCCAAAAGCAGAAGTATCGTACATCGGACATTTTTATCACCTGGCCTCTTGACCTAAAAAAATAAATAATTTAAAGGATATAACATATGATGTATGATACATGAGTGAAAGAAGGAATAAAAGTAGCATAGACAAGAATGAAGTGGGAATGCTTTATCTCTTAGGCAATCAAAGACCTAATGAATATTCACACATTATTTAGAATAAGCCGACCTTATAATAAATGAGAAAAAGAAGATGTGTTTCATCCTTGATGTGCTCAAGCCGTCAGATTACATCAATAAAGAAGAAGCAGAAAGAGATACTAAATATAGAGACATGAAGAAAGAGATTCAGAGAATGTGGGAAAAGGAGACTAAAAGAATTCCAATAATAATAGAAGCTATTGGTGTTGGATTATGTTTACCTGGAAACCATCTGTTTCTTGTGTTGTAAGTGTTCGGTGCCATTCAACTAAATGGTTATCAGGGCCGTAGAGCTCCTTATCCAATTCAATGACCAATGATTTGAAGAATGACGAAAATTTCCTTTTTACTTTATTCGGGTCATTTTTTGAATCATCCAGTAGCCTTCCCTCAACTCTTAGTTCCCAAGAAGCAACCAGTCTACACGTAAAACAGGACGAAGTCATAAAAGCCTTGAAAGCAAACATAGAAATGTTAATTACCCTTCTGCTCCAGGCCCGTCTGGTCCATCAGGACAGGGTTCTTTGGCAGGATAAAACGTGTTGGAAATAAATATCCGTAATTTGCGTTTTTGTTTCATGGGCCTTTTCAAAGCTTCTTGTATGTCTAGACGTTTACGCATTATTGTGGCGTCAAGTTTTCGTTCAAAAGCTAGTAAGTCCATGTATGCTTGACTCTCAGGAACCAAGTCTCGAACTTTTTGTGGGAGAATTTTGTCAGCTAGTTTCTTTTTCTTTTTACTGGTTATGTGACCATAGTCACTGAAAAAATAGGTAAGTGCATAAGTTTTTTATGCCACGGAAATTATCAATAACTCAATCAATAAAAAATCTTGGAAACATGGAAAATACTCATTAAAACAAACAGAAAATTCACCTTTTTTGTTGCATAGAATTACGGTTATCAGATGGTCGTTTCCCTCCAGGTTGACTTTGCATCTGGCCTCTCATTGGCGAATATTGAGCTCCCGAAGGTCTTTGGATCATGGTACCGCCACTAGTATTCATTGTAGCTGGAGGATTATTATAACCAGTCCTTTGCTAAAATAGTTTTAAACAGAATTATGGAAATGGAAGGGCTTAAGCCAGGCTCAGACCACTTTGGAAAGTACACTGATATTCGCTTACTTGGCAAGTATACCAGCTTTGCAATCAGCCATGGCAAGCAGAGCGCTCACATGATGTGTAGAGTTCAGAAGCAAGCACGAACATTAAGTTAAAACCTTGAGAAATAAAAAGAATAGTGCCAGCCATTATGGAGCAAAAGCAAAATTATTTGCCAATTTTGTTTGAGCGCCTCAACAAGTATAGACAAATCTGTACTCGGCAACTGAACAAATAATTATTTGATCCCTTTGACTCGAACCATTTTTACGGACAAAATGAAAACGCCACGCCATAACAGTTTGCGAAATTTGGATACAAGCTTAGCCTAGGAAAGGGATAAGAATTGGGAATCACATATTATAGGCGTAATAAGAAGATGCTCACACCAACTAAATGCAACCACCATGTATATGTTATTTAACATCTTTATTGAACCGCATCTACCATATCTGGGAAAACACAAGTGTAAAGTTATTTGAGAAATAACTACTAAGATTTCCATTGATGCATGCACACCAACAGAAATTATTTACAAAAGACAAAATCTTTTTAACTGACAAAAACTGAAAATGCTTAAACAAGTAACTTATCTATGAAATCCAAAATAAAACAATTAGGATAAATATAGAACTTGAACATAACAATGAAGTCCAGAAATGCAAATCTCAGAACAAAGAAAACTGAAGATACGCCTGAAAGTAAAAGCGTCTATAGGCCTATAATACAATACCAAAAAATCTGCTAGAGGAGGGAAAAAGACAAAAAATAAAAACCTCATGGATTGAGAGACTGAAAATAGTAAAACTGGGAATATATTAAAGGACTAAAATAATATCTATATATAAAAGATAAAGGATTTAAAAAAAAAAACCTGAAGCTAAAATAAAAAAGCGAAATGTATAAATTATTGTAATATAATGTGACAAGGGGGAAACTTTGTGGCATTGTGAAATTCAATTCAAATTAGCCAATAGGTATTAAATTCCGCGTGGCGATGCTAAATTCTTCTAGCTGCAGGTGGAAGCACATAGCTTACCCGCTACAAAGACAGCTCGGCAAGCTGGTACACTCCCTTGCACTAGCAGCCTGATTCGAAGGAAGCATCTCGTTTTTGCAAATTTCTCGAAACGCCCAAACTTTCTACTATACATCAGAAAAATTCTTAAGAAATTTCAATTGCTTGGGTACTTGTCGGGATATCTACGTAAATACGCTTAAGATTTATTAATTTAACAAATTTTTTTTTAACAAAAAACAAAACAGAGTAACCTTACGGGGGAACTTTGTAACATATAATCAGTATGGAAGAAGCTTATGTTCAACCTTAGAGGATGGACATATCTCCGAATTTGGACGACTTTCTATTGGTGGAGTTCACATCCCGATTTCTGGTTGAATATGAGGGTGATAAATACCATATCGTATGATATACAATAAAAATTTAAAATTTCTAAATCAGTATATACCCGTGTTTTTAATATCAGAAAATTATCAAGCAAATATTTCTTGACATATCATATCCTTTCAGACTAAAAATGACGGGGTTACATTATGTTTTCATTGTAAAAACGCACTGTCACAAAGCATCACGGGGTAAAATTGGGACACTTTCAAATTAAAAAAAAGCTGAATTATAATTTTTTTTTCAATTTCCTATTGTTGCCATTTTGTAGTGAAAGGACGGATATAGGTAGTGTATTTTTTTAGAATTTTATGTGGCAAAGAACTATTTGAGAATTGCAAAAAAACTCAAAATCTGTCAGAAAGTATCCCTGTTTTATGGTATTTGTATTCCTAAAATCAGAAATTTTATTCTATATTTTTAAGGATTTGATCTCTCCTCAAGAACTCTAACTGTAAAGGCGCCAGTAAATTGTTGTTGGAATGGGATGGTGCTACCTAGCGCATTCACCAGAAGTAAATAAATTCGAGGTGCGCGGGTGCGGAGTGTATGCGCCAAGGTCTGTTCCCACAGGAGTCTCTGACAGTTTGCAACCTGTCAGAAACAATCGCTCAGCTGAGTTACAGATTTATCTTGTAACGACAGCATTGAAAACATGTATGGGCGATGCTTACTGACAGTTTGCAAACTGTCAGAGGCTCCTGTGGGAACAGACATATTGACTCTAAATCTTAACTTCCAAAATTGTCAATAGATGGCGCCATCAATGGGAATTGAGAATAGAAAAAATAGTGTACGCAACTCTCATCATGTAATAGCCATTAATACATGATCATTTCATAATATACTATTAGGAGATTAAATTTTTTTATTCACAAATATGTTTAAAAACATAAAATTTTGAATTATGTACACCTTCAAAAAAAATTATGGCAACATGGCACCAATTCGAAGGACAATGACATTTTGATTGTCATTAATCATTGTTCCTGAACCTTTTGGTTGGAAAAGATGGTTCCTTACCTACCTCGTGTGAAAGGTGGTAATCTTGTTTTATTTGGGTAATCTCTGGCCAGTCCTCACAGATTAAGGTATGGGGTTGTGCCCAAGTTATTGGAGAGTCTTATGGAAAGCATATTTTTGTCTATTTTGAGTAAGATAACCTGAATTTTCCAGTCCATTTCCATCATAAAGTCGGATTATGTAAAAATTTGAGTTCATCCTTTAATGTGACACAATAGCAGGCTGCCATTGGTCTTTATCGAGGTCTTTATAGTAAAGAACTTAGCAACTATATTATGTCACCATCATGATGAAGACACCTTATTCCAGGATATAGTTACTTATGAAAGGATTGTTAATGCAAGGAAAAATTAGACTGATGGAAGAAAGACTAATCTGAATCCAGTGAATCCTAAAAATGAACAAATAGACAATTTATACGTCCGCCAGGATCTGCCTTATGTGCTAAAACTGCCTCGACAACTGCAATGAGCCTGGACATGCAGCCAGTTGGTGTAACAAACCTTCGAGACCGCAGGGTTTCTGCTATAATTGTGGTTCGTTGACTCTCCAGAAGAAGGATTGTGCAAAAAATAGTGGTTCAACTAGTGAAAATACACTTGCCCTTTTATTAGAACAGCCCATTTCAAGTGCATTATAGTATGTTACCAATTTGTTTGAAGAAGGACAATGTTTTTCTGTTGGACAGTGGAAGTGCTACTTCTATGGTAACTGTAGATACTATAAAAGTGTATAATTTTAAGTTTGAAGAAACATTAAAAAATAATTTTCAAGGAATTATTCAAAGTAAGTTGGTAGTAGGTATTAGGTTCGATTTTTTTTTAAATTCAACTTGATAATGGTATTTGTTTTGAAATTTTAATTTGGTCCTCAAGAATACCTACTATTCCTTACAGGTGCCTCTAGGTAGAGATTTTATGTCCAATCGCCAAATTGAAATTTCCTCTTCTACTGGTAAACTTTATAGCTTTGTTCCAATACAACAGAAAACCGTACAATTTACCATCACGATTCTGCGCAAAAGCTAAAATTTGTGCGTACAATCCGAAATTTGTGTACTGAATGGTTTTGAAACCGTTCATGGGACGGTTTTCGACATGTCTGAACAGGCCTATATAAACCCTAAAACCAATAGAACCTTGAACCTCAGAAGTATCTTTGTCTCAATTGAATGTTAATCCTGATAATTTTGCAAATGAAATTTTAAATATTGATTACATGCACCAGGATGAACTAGACATTAAAAATATTGAAAATTGAAAGTCTGTTGATCGTAGAGGTATTTTGAATCGGAAAGTCCTTTTGAGCCTAAAACCAATGTATTCGACACACGACTCGACAAGAGCGGCCCTGTCGTCTCGAAAGGTATAATTCCAATGAGATTCCAATCTAGAATTGTCGGAAAAATTGTTTTGTTATCGAGTCGTGTGTCGAATCGTGATTTTAGAATCCCCGGGCAGTATTGACATTAAAGGGGGGGGTTGATTGTTATTGTCCCTGATCCTTTTGGTTGTGTTAAGAAAAAATGGGACCTACCTCGTGCAAGAGGTGGTAATTATGAGTTTAATGAAAAAAGTTGTAAGAAAAAGTAATCTTGTTTTATTTGTATAATCTCCAGCCAGTCCTTACAATTAAAAGGGTCTTTTTAATTTTCTATGATCTAGAAAAAACCTCATGCCACTGGTAAAGGCAGCAGGGGAAATCAAGGTGGAAATGGAGTGGCAGGTTACAAAGTTGCCATTTTTTAAGGCTATCTTTTTCTAACTCATTTAAAACTTGCAGTTTTTAATAACAATGAATGAGTTGTTTTGTTTCCTCTTTCATTATAATGTCTATGAAAAATACCAAATCTGAGAACACATTTAGAGTTAGAATAGGTAAAGCTTGGGCACAAAATTTTAAACATCGCCAAAGATGTAGGTACCTAATAATCCTAGTACCTGTAGATATACAGTTTCATTACTTAAGTGTGCAACATATGGGATTCTTTTTAATAATAGCAAAATCAAAATACAAACAAGGCCAAAAGTTGGTGTATGTCTGATAATCATATTAGGTGCACTTAGAATGGTTGCAAGTCGAACAGCATACAGGGTAACTCAAAAAATATCAAAATTGTAGTAATATTTACTTAAATAAAATAAAACTTTTGCACTTTAGGGAGAGTTTTTTTAATATGGCTATTATCATTAGTAATGTTTTAACTTGTTAAAAAAAAATTGCGACATTTTAAATTTGTGTTGAATATCATTGCAACAAACATGAATTTTGTGATTCCATAAAAAATTAAAAATCTAAGTTGATTTTACAAATGTGCTTGAATTTGAACAAAGTTATGTAAAATTGATTTGATTTTAATTAATTTTTGAAAGTATTAAGGGCGGAAATAAAAAATAAAAAAAATATAGAAATTATAGATTTTTTTCGAAAGAAAATAAAAAAAAACCTAGGAAGCTATGTTTTGGTATTTAGGCATAACTATTAATTCCGAACAACTTTTCTCTATATCATTTTGCTGAATTTTCTAAAATAAGGTTACTTTACAGTACAGCTTTGATATTGTTTGAGCTCCCCTGTATGCTGTTTGACTCTCAACCATTCCAAGTGCACCTAATATGATTATCAGACATGCACCAACTTTTGGCCTTGTTTGTATTGGGGTTGTGCTATTGCTAAAAAAAATCGCCATATGTTGCACACTTAAAAAATCACACCAGTGTCATTACTTAAGTGTGCAACATATGGGATTTTTTTAATAATAGCAAAATCAAAATACAAACAAGGCCAAAAGTTGGTGCATGTCTGATAATCATATTAGGTGCACTTAGAATGGTTGCAAGTCAAACAGCATAAAGGGTAGGTCAAAAAATATCAAAATTGTAGTAATATTTACTTAAATAAAATAAGACTTTTGCAATTTAAGGAAAGTTTTTTCAATATGGCTATTATCATTAGTAATGTTTTAACTTGTTTAAAAAAAATTGCGACATTTTAAAGTTGTGTTGAATTTCATTACAACAGACATGAATTTTGTGATTCCATAAAAAATTTAAAATCTAAGTTAATTTTACAAATGTGCTTGAATTTGAACAAAGTTATGTAAAATTGATTTGTTTTTAATTAATTTTTGAAAATATTAAGGGCGGAAATAGAAAATAAAAAGAATATAGAAATGATAGATTTTTTTTGAAAGAAAATAAAAAAAATTCTAGGAAGCTATGTTTTGGTATTCAGGCATAACTTTTAATTCCAAACAACTTTTCTCTATAACATTGTGCTAAATTTTCTAAAATAAGGGTCCTTTACAGTACAGCTTACTTTACAGTACAGCTTTGATATTGTTTGATCTACGCTGTATGCTGTTTGACTTGCAACCATTCCAAGTGCACCTGAAATGATTATCAGACATGCACCAACTTTTGGCCTTGTTTGTATTTGGGTTGTGCTATTACTAAAAAAAATCCCCATATGTTGCACACTTAAAAAATCACACTGTATATCACTAATAAAATACATTGTCATGGCTAAACCCAAAAATAATATCTATTCTAAATATTTGAGTGGTGCTAATACTGAAAATATCACCATTGAAAAGTTATAGTCTAATTCTGCAAAGTTCAAAAACCTTCAACAAAATGTCAGAAAACATTTAAAAATTATAACACAGATAATATATTTTAAGACATATTAGAATTTAGGCAAATAAAAATAAGTCCAACACTGTTAATTACTTTGAGAGGATTCAGGATTGAAATAAAACTAATCAAGAGCAGGAAGAACATTGTTCAAGACACAAAACTAACAAATTACAAGTACCTACGTAAACAGATACACAAATCAGTTATGTTGATCTGAACAAATTTATTTTGCATATTTTGTGTTTCTAGTGCAACACCCATACATTCTCTTTAGAGTATGTAGGTATCAGATCAATGGAGATGAAGAAAAACTTGTAAATAACTTCTAAATGCAATTGGAGTTTAGTATTTTGTATGAATATTCTTCAATACCACATGAAAAACAAATCAAAAAATATCTTACAGGAAAGTTCTGTTGGTTGTATTGACGCATCCCAGGGTTTTGGGGCTGCTGATATCTCTGAGGTGGGGGTCCGCCTGATCCTGGGCTAGGACCGGGCCCCGGAAACCGTTGAGCCATAGTATTTTGCCTTTAATTTCACTTCAGCTTAGTTAAATTTCTCGAAAAATCGAGAATTTCAACTTCAGCGTGGATTTCCAAAGCAAAACAGACAAATTTATTATTGTCTAGACAAAAGACAGACGCCATGCGCACAGCCATTGCGCACAGCAAATAGGGATGGCTGCCTGATACTGGAACTGATCCCGCGGAACTGATCTTCACAGTGGGAACTGATCCAAACTGATCCACTGCAAAATAAACAGGGCTGGGATCTAGACAAGTAAAATACTACTTTTATGACGTCACCCGCGACCTATTTATCGTGTACAATACAGACGATGATGAGGGTTGCTATGAAACTTGACGTCATAAAAGAAGAATTCTAGTAAAATTCTAATCGTTGTGATCCCAGCCCAGGTTCGAGTCCGGACAACTTTTGCGTTGTCTTCCTTGTACGGATTCCTTCTCGGACTCGGACTCAGACCGTCCTAATCGGATCGCGTCGCGCTGGCCGGCGGAACAGGGAAAAGTGCGGATTCGGACACGGAGTCAGAGACGGAGTACATTACACCGACAAACTCGTTTCGGTCAACGACTCGGGGCCGGGATCACGCCACACCAGCGCGGCAGCTGGAACGGAGAGAGTACGATAGGATATAGATGGAACGGAAAAGAAAAAAACTGATCTAGGTGCTTTATGATGGTAGATGTTGTCTAGGGAATTTAAGGAAAATAAACTGGTTCTCGGTTCGACTCGGAGGACTCGAGCTTGGAACTGATCCATGGAACAGTTATCTATTTGGACCAGATCAGTTCGGAACTGTGGGATATTGCGACTAGAGTTTGAGAATCCCGCCCCTGATCCGTTAAATTTGTTGGATCAGCCATCCCTAAAGGCGGTTACACACGTACGTTGATGTCTGAAAACATGTACGCACATACATGAACGTGCAAACAAAAACATCAATGTGTATGCAAAATATCGTCGCGTTTTTGAATGTGCAATTTTGTATGCACACTCGGAACACTGTAGCAAGAATAGCAAGACTGCAGTTTTGTGCGAGCGTCTGTACAAAAGCGCCATGCACGTTGTTGTTTGCACGCTGATGTATGCACGTATATGTATTAAGACATCCACGTCCGTGTGTAACCGCCCTAAGGCCGGATTTTCATGCATCCGTTTTCCGACGAAATATGTCCGAAAAATCTTCTATTTTGACATATTTTTATACGATTATGTCAAAATAGAATGTTTTTCGGACATCTTTCGTCGGAAAACGGATGCATGAAACTCCAGCTTAACAGCAAACAACTGACATAATGCTAAGGAGGGCTTATCCATACGATATATCGATACGCCCTCGATGATACTACATCTCGATATACGATTTTTCCATATCGATATTAAATCGATACAGCTTACATCGATATCTATCGATAAATATCTTTAAAAAACCATCATAGAACGTCATTCGTCAAACGCAAATGTCAATGGTCGCGTTCGTGAGGACTTAACAATCATCAATTTTCTGATGAACACCTGTCTTGTCAAATGATCACTCTCACATCACTCCGGATCGCTGATGAGCCGCTTTCAAACTGAAAATGTGCATAGGTTTGGCACCGCGCGCTACGACCATCACAAGCTTGGAGCGTCGATGTCATTTGGAACACGCTACTGAAACCTTAAATATTTTCCGCAAGTTCATTGTTTCCGCATTAAAATTACTTCTTCTATGTCAAATTGTTTACTTGGGCTCGAAGCCACCTATTGTGATGATGTGCATCAGGGGGCAGGAGAGAGGTAGGTTGCCTTTCAAGCGCATTGGCATATGGAAAGACACAATTTCCACGCGTTTGTGAACGCAAATGCTCGATTGCGTACATAAAAATGCCAGCTAGAAAGCGGCCCTGGACGCCATTTTTTCAACCATATAGCGCTTTCTTTTTTTGAGTCGGAGCGCTGCTCTCGGCGAGATTCACATGTTCAACTTGAACGCTCTCAAATCTCGCACAGAGTGCTCTTTCTTACTCCGTCCGATGGATCAAAGAGTTTGATCAAAACAATCAAGTCTGTTCGGCTATTAATTTCAAATGCCTTCGAGTAATAATTTTTTAAATAATAGGTTTGGTGAATTTTGATTTCGAACATATTTGTTTTTAGCGCTAGGAATATGTGGGAGAATTGACAATTATTGACATACAAGTGACTAATGCACATGCTTAACATTCTATCACGTTTATGTGGCAAAAGTGCTAAAATGAAATTCACCGAGTACCGTTCACCAGCACACAAGCAACGGATCTCAAATAATCGCTACCTGATCAAAAATGTCCTGATGAACGCGACCAAATAAATGTCATTTGTCATGGTATAGGTTTGTTCCAGCAAAATGTTAAAAACAAATTGGTATAACCAAACAAACAAATTTAGCTGGGTTCGGCTTACACACTCCGAGTGACTCCGTTCGCACTCCAGCCGTTCGGGTATTGCCTTTTAATGAATCAGACAACGGCTGGAGTGCGAACGGAGTCACTCGGAGTGTGCAAGCTGAGCCCAGCTTTTGTTGGTGACATGACAATGCCGAACACGGCTTGGGGTGGATTTTCATGCATCCGTTTGTTCGACGAAAGATGTCCGAAAAACATTCTATTCTGACATAATCGTATAAAAAAATGTCAAAATAGAAGATTTTTCGGACATATTTCGTCGGACAAACGGATGCATGAAAATCCACCCTTAAGCCTAGTACTCATAACTGCGAAATTCGCATTTTTTTGACATTGCGTTGACAATTTGACGTTTGATACACGCATAAAACGTCAAATTCTCAACGCAATGTCAAAAAAATGCGAATTTCGCAGTTATGAGTACTAGGCTTTATGCCTAGTACCTACTCATAACTGCGAAATTCGCAATTTTTTGACATTGCTTCGACAAATTGAAGTTTTATGCGTGAATTAAACGTCAAATTGTCGAAGCAATGTCAAAAAATTGCGAATTTCGCAGTTATGATTATTAGGCTTTAGGGTGGATTTTCATGCATCCGTTTGTCCGACGAAAGATGTCCGAAAAACATTCTATTCTGACATAATCGTATAAAAATATGTCAAAATAGAAGATTTTTCGGACATATTTCGTCGGAAAACGGATGCATGGAAATCCGGCATTATGCTTACTATCAGCTAAGGGTGGGTATTATAAAACTGCTTTGACAGTTAACTTGAAGTTAACTTTTTGAATTACATGTAATTCCAGAAGTTAACTTTAAGTTAACTTTCAAAGTAGTTTTATAATACCCGCCCTAAATCAAATTCAAGCAAATCCATTATCTTCTACCAAACAGTGCACACTAACTTTTGTCCTGTGCTAGGGTGACCATACGTACAGCATTTCGCTGTATTGTACAGCATTTTGAAAGTCTATCCAGCATTTAATTTTTTACAGCAAACGTACAGCGATTCGGATCATAATTAGGTTTTTCTTAAAAATTGTCCGTTGATAACTAATGCCACATCTCTAAATTTTTTTGTTTCTGCAAATGCATTTTCTTTGTTACTTTATCTATACAGTGTGATTTTTTAAGTGTGCAACATATGGGGATTTTTTTTAGTAATAGCACAACCCAAATACAAACAAGGCCAAAAGTTGGTGCATGTCTGATAATCATATTAGATACACTTAGAATGGTTGCAAGTCAAACAGCATACAGGGTAGCTCAAACAATATCAAAGCTGGTACTGTAAAGTACCCTTATTTTAGAAAATTCAGCAAAATGTTAGAGAGAAAAGTTGTGTGGAATTAAAAGTTATGCCTAAATACCAAAACATAGCCACAGATTACCTAATACAGATGCGAAAGTACGTATACTTGTCGTCGACGATATTCTGTGACGAAGCCTCTTTGTGCTGTAACAGATTTTGTAAACTGTGTAGCTTCAGCTTTGGATGAAAAAAAATGTGTTATTGCTGTATTTATTGATCTTAAAAAAGCTTTTGATGTAGTGGACCACTCGGTTCTACTGAATAAATTATGGACCATGGGTGTTCGAGGGGTGATGTATTCCCTTATTGCGTCCTTCTTGAAGGATCGACCTCAGTTTGTTACAGTGGAGGGAATAGAAAGTAATAGAATTTTAAACAATTGTGGAGTACCACAGGGTTCAGTTTTAGGGCCGATATTGTATTTAATTCACGTGTTGTCACTGAGGCAGGCTGGCCTGACAGGACGGTATTTCACGTTTGCGGATGACACTGTATTTTTTTATAGTGGATCCAACATGCAAACACTTGAACAAACTGTAAATGTTGACTTGTGTAGATATTCTGAATGGTTATTGCATAACAAACTAAAACTTAATGCAGAAAAAACTATATATTTAGTATTCCAACAAAAAAATACAGAACATTATAAATTTGAAATAAATATCAATAATATGCAGATATCTCAAGTTCACTCAACCAAATATCTAGGTCTTATAGTTGATGATAAACTTAATTGGGGAAATCATATTGACAGTTTGGTTAAAAAAATCATCCCCATGTTGGGAGCATTGTATAGATGTACAAAATATTTAAATACCAGAAATCGCTGCTCAATTTACTATGCATACATTCTGTCAAACTTGAGATACCTTATAAATGTTTGGGGTACATGTGGTGTGACTTCTTTCAACAGAGTACAGGTACTACAAAATAGAGCGGTTAAGGTCCTGTTTCAAATGCCTTATCGTACCTCCTCAGAGTTATTGTACCCACATCTTTCGTTACAGCCAATAAGATATGTGTTAGAGTTAGAACAATGCAAACACATTTATAGGATTTTATTTTGCAATCTCAAAAGTAATTCTAGTCTAAAAACAAACAGTGAACTGTATGAGTACAAAACAAGAGGAAATCGTAATTTACATGTCAGTAGCATAAGAACAAATAAAGCACTTTATAATCCATTGACCAGAGCAGTACTTATGTATAACCAGGTACCGATTCATGTCAGAGAAGCTTCAACATTTGAAATATTTTTGAACAGACTCAAGGAGTTTTTAAACACAAAAATGTATTTCTGAAAAAAATAAATAATAGTAATGATGAATAAATTGAAAAAAAATAAATAAATAAATAAATGAAAATGATAATATGTAATAAAAAAAAAAAAAAAAACAAAAAAAAAATTAAAAAAAAATTCTAAATTAGATTAGTTTGGTGCCAAAATAAACGTACAAATAAATGTGATTGTTGCGAATGTTTTTATTTACATAAGTGTTTTTTTACTGTATAACTTTGGTAATTTTAAGGTTTTATTAGTCTGAATATTGTGTAGTCTGAATCAAATTATATCTGCTCCGTTACCAGCGTTTAGCTGTTTAGGAGTGAATAACAAAGTACATAGCTTAACTTGTGCCTTAGACTATATGAAAAAAACAAAAATTGTAATTTGTTATTTAATAAATAAAAAAAAAAAAAAAAAAAGCCAGGCCGCCAGCGCTCCGACGCATAGATAAAGATCGCCCGCGTCAGGACAATTAACGTGGCCAAGTGCGTGAGCATGTTCCAGCCTGTGTGTTTACATATTTTTGCGGGTAGAAAAAAATATTTTTTTGCTGTTTGTGAACCAATTAAAGAAATAATATTATATTATTGAGCTTCCGCATTTATATAATAAATATGTTCAAAATACATTGATGTGGCATTGGTGCGGCCAGCCTATGTCTATCAAATTAATCTTGAACCACGAATTCGCAGCTCTTTCGCATCTGTATGTAAGACTGTAGAAAAACACGACGGTTTTCTACCACACACTTCGGTTTTGGCACGACGTGTTTCCTCGCGGCGGTGAAAACCGTCGTGTTTCACCGTAGTGTATGGGGCCCTTAAGTAATCTGTGACATAGCCTCCTAAGATTTTTTTTATTTTCTTTCGAAAAAAATCTATAATTTCTATATTTTTTTTATTTTTTATTTCCGCCCTTAATACTTTCCAAAATCAATTAAAATCAAATCAATTTCACATAACTTTGTTCAAATTCAGGCATATTTGGAAAATTAACTTAGATTTTTAATTTTTTCTGGAATTACAAAATTCATGTTTGTTGCAATGATATTCAACACAACTTTAAAATGTCGCAATTTTTTTTAACAAGTTAAAACATTACTTATGATAATAGCCATATTAAAAAAACTCTCCTTAAAGTGCAAAAGTTTTATTTTATTTAAGTAAATATTAGTAAAATTTTGATATTTTTTGAGCCACCCTGTATGCTGTTTGACTTGCAACCATTCTGAGTGCACCTAACATGATTATCAGACATGCACTAACTTTTGGCCTTGTTTGTATTTTGATTGTGCTATTACTAAAAAAAAATCCCATATGTTGCACACTTAAGTAATAACACTGTATATATAAAAATTAATGCCACTTTTCGTTGTAATTTTATAACTCAAGAACGGGCTCACCTAGCCAAACCAAATGTTCTGGCTTTGTTCGGACTATTTATTAGATGGTTTATGTGAAGTTTGCACAAAATCGGTCGAGCGGTTCTTCATTTATCACATTTTTTGTAATAAATGATTTATTCAATAAATGGAGGATCATTTTGTTAATGGGGATTTTGCTGTCAAATTGAAACTTTTTTCAGCGTTGACAGTACCAGCATGTTGTTATGTCATTAATGTGGTCATTTCATTACTTATTTTATTTATTTATGCAAAAAATTTACTAAGCCCGCATACGGCGCCATCTCTTATAACCGATAATTTATTTTGTATTTTGTATACCGCGCCATTTCTGAACCTCGAACGAATTTCGGCATTGCAGATACAGTAGAACAATGCTGCTCAGGAACTGTAGCTATTTCGAACAGAACTATTCCACTATTCCGATCAGATAGAGTGGTGCAGAAAGAGTAGATCAGATAGAGTAGTGCAGATAGAGTAGTGCAGATAGAGTAGAACAGATGGAGTAGTGCAGTGCATGCAGTGCAGATAGAGTGAAACAGGGCTGCGCTAGAGATTTTTTTTGTTTTCTTGACATTCTTTGAACATTCCTGTGCCTGAGTTTATTTATTTGGTGGTACACTTTACAAGAATAATGCCCACAAGCTGCCTAAAAAAGGATGATGTAAAATTTTAATTTTAGGTGACTTCTGATCCAGAGAGTAAACATTAATTTTCTTCAACCAAAGCCAAATTCACCATCGAAAAAAACTGAATTTAATTCAGCTAATAGATACGTTAACACAACATTTAATAGGTATATTTAATAATTCAGGGGCGTTACGAAGTTCGCCGGGTCAGCTAGTTGTGTTTAAATGTCTAATAAATGAGAATTTCTATTTTTGGTTGGGACTGGGAGTTAGGTGTGTGTTTCCTATTATCATCCATTTTTTTTTTCAAAAAATCATACTGAAATAAGTTATAAAGCCGACAAAATTTGCCCAAAAAAACTTTTTTTGGGCGTGACAGCTTTTCCTTTTGCATTTAATGCTTTTTCCACTCACCTGTCCCAAAATTTTAGATGTGTACAGCATTCATACAAAAAAAATATGGTCGACCTACTGTGCACTGAAAAAAACATTGAAATTATGGAGTCGGTACTACATGAATCTTATGACAGCTGGCTCAGTTGAGAAAATATAGGTCAGGATTTGGAGAGTTAGAAATGCTCTAATGCTCTTCTATGTCACCAATATTTCTGACTATTCTTACATCTGCTGGAACAAATCTATCACTATTACCGCGAGTTTGATCCAATATCACTTTCAAAAGAAAAATACGTTTTCATTAGTGTACTATACACATACATTGCCACATCTGGTCCAAAATGACTTCCATCCCGGACGAGCCCCCATTTTTATAGAATTCTTAAATGTATGAAAAAACACGCACAAACACGGATGCCTTTTGAAAATCTCTATTGTTTAAAACTAACTTACTCTCTGACATACTAACTTAAACATCAACTTTGTAATATTTCATTACGAAAACTAATTAAACTTCGTAACTGATCGCGTCGTGGCTAATAACGTAGACCACGTCAATGACCAAAAAGACTTTGCTTATAAGGTAGGTTAGTTTGGACTAGTTGTTGTATTCGTTTCACCTTTTCGAGCCTATACTCGACACTTCACTTCAGCCTTGAAGAATTTTTTCTGTGTCATTGTATGGACTCTACTCCTTCTCATTCGTACTTGGAGACTAGATGGGTTGGCGGCAGTTCGGGCGACCTATCGTCCCGTACTACTGCGGCCACCCATCTAATCTCCGCAGACTTAGTTCAGAATCAGTTCTGAATTGGATTACGTTACGCATTTTTTGAATAATGTTCGGACCTGCAGATTTCGAATTTCATATTCGGAATTTTGACAAATTCTTTGTTCGGATTATCGGTCTTCAACTCTTCTACGACCGTCCGCAGTTCTTGTATTTTAAGTAAGGGCCGAATCTTTGGAGGGAGGATTATTGGCGAGCGACGAAGACATATCCTTTTCTCGCTCCATGGTGAACTCATGAGGTTACAAAAACAACTGCGGGAGAGACCAAAAAATGAAAATTTTGTCGAGGAAACTGTACCTCCATACAATGAGAAACAGTTTATGTAGCATTTCAGACTGTCGCGGAATACATTGCAATCGTTGAATAATTGCCTTATCACAAAGATGATGCTAATGGTCCAAATAGACATTAATCTGCAGGAAAAAACATTTTAGTTTTAGTTTTTTCGTGATTTGCATGTATGTCATGTCAGTCCATCTTTTCGTAATGACGAAAATAGAGATCACGATGAAATTTTGCAATGGATGACTGCTGACTAGTCCGGTTTATTTATCATGGGGTGCTTTTTCCCTATTTTCTAGAGTTTCGAATCGTGTTTTTTTTGTTTTGGTAGGGTCTTCAAACTTTGCTATGTCTGATTGTTTTGGAATATTCAATTCAAGAAATGTCAATGTTTAGAGAAATTAAGCAGCATGTTGAAGATCAATGGAATCATAGCTTTTGGAGTTTTACAAATTTTGATGAAGCGTGAATAGTTCAGTGGCCGCTCGTACCTTTTATTTTAGAGGAGGCAGGACGCAGTCACTGCAGTCAGAGGGATTTTTTTTATTATTCAAATTGATTTGATCTTCATGATTCTCGAGTCTGGTGCACTGTGAAATTCTACAATTCGTTTTCTAAACTAAAAAACTATTTTCAAATGCGATAATTGCGTCAAGTTAATTCAAATTTACATTCATCGAGATAAAATACCTATAAGTCATTGTTGAAAAAACAAATATTTAATTTTGCTATACAGACGTACAGAAAACCACTCAAACTTTAAACATAAGATACCATAGTTAGGTAGGTATTTATTTAGAACGCAAGTAATCTATAAAAGCGATACTGCATTATTTAAGCAAAAATGGAATTCAGTTTGGCAGATAAAGTAGCGATAGTTACAGGTGGTAGTTCTGGGATAGGTTTTTGCGTTGCGAGGGAACTTTTAAATAATGGAGCAAGGGTAAGAAATTTTTGATTAAAATAAGAAGAAACGTGTGTAAGTTCACAGACAATGAAAAGTGAAATGTCGAGACGAATACGCTGAGATATTTTATTTAAGGGTGTAACAATAGCAGATGTAAATGTTGAACTTGGACAAGCGACATTAGAAAAACTTTCAGCTGAGTTCGGCTCAAACAAATGTACGTTTTGTCCCACTGATGTAGCAGATTTCAAACAGTTCGAAAATGCTTTTATTTCTACCCTTTCAACTTTTGGCAACATTGATATCTTAATTAACAATGCTGGAATTTGTGATGATTCTATTTGGGAAAAGGAAATTGATGTTAATATTGTAAGATTTTTTCAACTGAACTCTTCATTACCGACTTTTTGAAATGTTTGCTTAGAAGGGAACTATCAATGGTGTTTTACTAGGACTTGAAAATTACATAATAAAAAACAAATCTGGACAGGAAGGAATAATAATCAACCTTTCATCCATACGTGGAGTGCAACCTTCTGGTGATAGACCTGTTTATGCAGCCACAAAGTTTGCTATCCATGGTAAGACTTATCGTTCAATACATATATCCCAGTTTATTATCAAACTTCACCTCTACCTTCACATATTTAGAGGTAGGTCTATTATAACTATAGCCGTTTGAGTCTAACCCTTATAGGAAATATTGGAATGTGAACTCCATTAACACAAGTTAACACTTTATCTAGGTATGACTTTAGCTTGGGGTTCAGAAGACCACTACAGCCGAACCAATATTAAAGTTATAGCAGTGTGTCCAGGTTCAACTTCGACTCCTTTAATAGCAAATCCAGCAAATACCAACTTAGGTCAGCCGTATGAAAAAATAAGGAAGAAAAACAAAGCTTCTAGCAATTTGTCAGATCAAACGTAAGATGATATAAATTTTAAAAGATTTATAATATGTACAGGGTTATTGGTTATAAATGTCATCTATCTTTTTTATTTGACATTTTAGAAAAAAGTGTCCCAAATAAAAAATTTATGGTTGAAATTAAATTTTTTGAAAAACTCACTTTTGCATATACAGGGTGTTTCAAAAAAGCTGGTCGTGCTCCAACTTTCTCATTTTAAATTGAATATCCTGTATATTATTTAATATTCGGATTCTATGTTAAATTCTGAACAGATTTCATGTGATATACCCTATACCTAAGTTCAACTGTTTTGGAAATATTGACAGTTGAAAATTGACTTTTTTGTAAATTTGACAGGCTGTAAAACCTAAACAGTTAACTTTTGAGCAAAACCGATCTTACATTTTTTTCTAAGATTTTCACAAGTTATCATTCGACACCAACTTTGAATTTAACCGAAAATTAAATTTAATTGGAATTTTCAATCATGGATCAAATTCAAAGTTGATGTCGAATATTGGTGTCAACTGATAGTTCATAAAAATCCAAGACAAAAATGTGGGATCGGTTTTGCTCTCAAATTAACCGTTTAGGATTTACAGCCTGTCACAGTTGCAAAAAAGTCAATTTTCAACTGTCAATATTTCCAAAACAGTTAAACTTAGGTATAGGGTATGTCACATGAAATCTGCTCAGAATTTTATGTAGAATCCGAATATCTAATAATATACAGGGTATTTCATTTGAAATAAGAAATTTGGAGCACGACCAGTTTTTCTGAAACACCCTGTATATGCGAAAGTGAGTTTTTCAAAAAATTTAATTTCAACCATAAAACTTTTATATGAGACACTTTTTTCTAAAATGTCAAATAAAAAAGATAGAGGGAGGAGACATTTATAACCAATAACCCTGTACATACCTATTTTACTTGTAATTATTATTTTGATTGTTTATTGCTTTTCAGACCAGAACAATGTGCTTTGTTAATCATAGATGTAATGAAAACTGCGAAATCTGGTACAGTTTGGATAGCGGAATCTGCAGAAAAATATCAGTACATTATGCCTAGTCGACTTGATATGAAGACTATAATATAATGGATATATGTAGTTTTATCATATTAATTTCTTATACACCTAGATTATGTCTGTTCTGCCAAAAAAAAAATCGTTATTGAATTTATGTTATGCCTTTTTTTGCTATATAATTACCTAACTTATTAGGTATATAGGGTGTCCATTTTAAAACTTACCACGTACCCCTATTCCCATTTAAGATTTTCGAGGCGGTGGCTCTGGGGGCTGGGGGGGGGGGGGGGGGGGTGGAAAGGGGGAGGTGAATTTTGCATAAAAACTCATCCCCCTTTAAATTATAGTTGACGTGTTTCAGGGATTTTTTCGAAAGTTTTTCAACTCTTAAGACCTCGCATCACTACTATCTCTATTCTCTAGTCTCTGAGTCTCAAATTACACTTTTGTTTAATTTTTTAAACGGGGCCGGTAAGCGGTAAGCCCCTCTAGAGAAATTTAAAAAGAAATCGTTTGAATAATTGACATGGCCAAATATTCGCTTTCCACAGTTAAAAATTTCCGAGCTGAATGATCTCCCACTTTTGCCAGTGGGAATAAGTTGGCATTAGCGCCATCTAATATCGAATTTTTAAAGCTTATTCTCATTTGCAGGATCTACCATTGTATATTTTTAAGAATCTATACAATAAAACATTATTACAATAAATAGTTTCGCTTTATTGGAAATAACTGTACAACCCTTTTTTCGCTTAGATACTGTGTGCGAGTTATTTTTAAGAAAAAACATAAAAAGAAACGGCGGTATTATAATAAGAAAGATTTTTGATTATCAAAAAACAGTTCGTCAGACTATCAAGATTCCGATTTAAAAAACATACCTAGTTAAAAACTCCCAATTAATTTTTTTGTTTCTTGAAAATGCCTATCAGGTCAAAAGAGGAATTCGATCTTGTCGGCGAATCCTGACGACAGATGGCGAGTGGTGCATTGCATTCGTTTTTTTGGCCTATCTAAAAACGATCCGATTAGATCATCCGATGCAGTCTTTCCGACCTTCGTTAATTGTATGTCGTATTTGTTGAAGAAAGATGGAACCACTGGCGTATCCAGGGGGGGGCAAAGGGGGCAATTGCCCCCCCCCAGAGCAACAACCTTTTATTTCTCAAAAATATCTCAAATGACTAAAAATATTTGTTTTACTCGCGTGCGCCAAGTTAATACTTTGCACACTTATTGGCGTGCGCAAAGTTTACCTTTGCGCACGGAACCTCTTTGCACACTCATTTCTTGCTACGCAAAATTACCGTATTACCTACCGGATTTCTTAATGTTTTGTGGGTTTCTGGATGTACAAACTAATACCTATTCGAAAAGAAGGGCTTCATGTTATTTTTGTTCCAAGAAAGCATAGACCTATTAATACTAAAATATGGACGGAGTCGATCTCCATTTAGCACACGCAGCAAACATGGTGACAGAATGAAAGTGACATAGCGGAATAGAAAATTAATGAGTATGACAAGAAGCAGTCTATGATGCAATCACGTGACGACCAGCAAAACCACGTATATTTGAATGCGCTGATGCTATCTCTCTTTACTCTTCTGTCATCGCTATTCTCTCTCGAAACTCCGTCCATACGTCATACGTTATTGTTAATCGGTCTATGCAAGAAAGGTATCCATGTAATGTTTAGCTTTTTTAATTTGACACTTCCCGTATGAAGAGTGAGGGGAGGAAAAATCTAGCAAAAACAGGTGACCATTGGCGTGGGGAGCCACCAAGTTACCAACTCACATTCCTTTGGAGTATCAGATCATAAAAGTTGGACAGTGTTATACTCGTTTATATACTTCTCAACTTAATGGTGTTACGGAAAGAATGAATCAGACACCAATGTACAAAATAAGATCTATGATAATGCAAGCAAACATGGATAGGATATTTTGGAGCATCGTTATTGCTATGTAGAACTAATTTGAAAAGTCACATGAAAAAATATCATCCTGATAAGTTTAGTCTTCAAATTTAGCAGGAAAAACAAATTTTAAGTAAACGTCGCTAGCATAACCACTGTTGCAAATAAAGTCAAGCTGATCACTAAAAAAAAACACAGCACATTAAACTAAGGGGGAAAATTAACCGTTTTGAGCATCTGGAAACATTTAAGAAGATTAGGTACAGCTCTTCTGGATGCTATGCAGATCTTCAAACACTCGAAGAAAAAGTATTGTTCCTAACACTTGCGCAAAGTGTCTTTCCCGCACTGAAAGCTTATCCGAACTCCGCTTCGCGTCGTTCGTCTAACTGCTTTTTCGTGCGGGAAAGTCTGCGCACTTATTGTTTGGAAAATAACTATTTTTATGTACGTATGTATCACACACCTTTGAATTTATCTTTACTTTGGTTTTATGTTTTGTGTTATGTGTTACTTGTATCTTGAAAGTCGATTTCTTAGGAAAATAAATAATTTCAGTTATTAACCTCTTATCGTTTCAATGAGCAGCCCAAATATTTTATCAGTGGCGGCCAATAATACGGAACCATGACTCTACCTTATTTTTCGGTAAAAATATATTTTTTGTCCTATAAAAGTATTAGAAGCAAAGATATGCCATCAAGATGTGTGATTTTAACGACTTTTGGGCGTGGAACCTTTAAAAAATTTCCGCCGGCGGGCATCTGGTCTGCCCACCCCCAGGACCTCAGGCTGGATACGCCACTGGATGGAACACAATCAGATCAGATTGTATGTGAATTATGATGTCAAGTTAATATTTTTCAACTAGGAAATTTCCTAATTTTCAGATGAGAGTCATAACATAACTCATTAGATACAGTCATATCAAATCTCGAATAACTTCCTGATAAATGGCCGTACACCTTATCATTTTTGTCTCTTCTCTACAATTTACTTTAGAGATCTTGTTGTTTGTAGATACCTATTTAATCATTTTGGTATAATAATTATTAATCATCGGGGATCGGTGAGAGATCCTAAGATAACTTGATTTTTTCAAAAGAAATTTTTTGACTTGCATCAGTTACAACGAAGGATAGCAATCCCCAAGGCTACTTCACGTTAACTTCTTAACTAAAAACTTATTTTTGATTAATTTCTAAGGGGTCATAAAACCCAAACTTCCCAACACAACAAGCTTAGCGACCAACAACGCATACGTGGCCTTGTGTCTATGTAATACATCAGTTGGAGACATTTAGGTAAAGCCACCCCTCTCCAACATTTAGGGCTGGAGGTCTTCTATTCTGGCGCCCCCGTTCGGCCCGTTCCATGTTTCTATAGCATTTCGCCAATTTAATTTCTTTGATTCCCCTTATCGGTTCTATCTCATATTCTTATCTGGCACTATGCTTAGAATGTGTCGAGTCCATGTCATATCCGGGAAAATTCGGAAATATGATCCATGGGGTCCAATGTCTAATGGACACCGAGATATCGGCTCAAGTTTCTAGGTCACTAGTACTACGCGCAAGATGATGATATACTGTTTCAAGTGGCTCCCTCCTTTAGCAGATGAGCCCACCAAAACAATTTTAATGCAGTCTCGTCGCAATAAATACCAAGACGGCGAGTGGTGGATTGCTCGCTCGTTTCGCGCTCAGTGGGAATGTCGTTTGCTATGACCTAAATTTGATAATTTGTAATATTATTCTGGATAAGAAATATTTTTAAATTACTTATGTCTACAATTTGATAATGCATAAAAAAAAGTGTATTTGTTATTCGTTGGGATTCAATTTCTATAACTAAATGTGATAACATTATTTCATGCATCTCATCTCAGTTCTATAAAAATACATATAATATCCATTAACTTAGCCCTTAGCCTTAGCCTGCGATTTAAGAATAGGCCCCTTGCATCAAATTTTTTTATGCTGATTTCGATAGTCCATGAAAAATAAGTCAACACGTGTTTTTTCTTTTTCTTCTAAGTCAAAATTTGACGGAGATACAACGCTATGAAATATGCCTATGACGTCACTTGCACTTATCATATAAATTAGTGACGTTGCACATGCTCAGTATATCTATATATACAAAACTTAATATTTGTATAACTTCCGGAATAATCATATTTTCAAAATAGATATAAATACATGATTAAATATACCGAATCAACAGTTATTTATTATCCAGGTTATATAAATTTATTAGGCCAAATTAGAATTGTGAGCTGACTGTGACGTAACGGTCTGTGTCTAGTACCTACCCAATATTCATATTCCTGCTGAGCCCTTTTATTCAGATATACCTATGGGAAACATGAAAATAGCAAAACAAAATGCACATGAAAGTTGCTTTTACAGGACGGTTTAAAAAAATACTGTAAGAACAAATTATTTGGCCGATGATAATGATGGCGTTTGCTTACTGGTCCGAATTCGGAATTATCCATGGGTAAAGGAACATTAAGCATCTGAGGGCAAGGGCACTGTAGTGATACCAGAGGCGGATTTCCTATGAAGCAGAAGAATCAGTCGCTTCCAGCGCCAAATTTTAGGAGCGCCAAAAATTTCAAAATTCAGGCAACTGATTATTTCTTTAACCAATTTCGAGAGGTATATATAAATATACAGGGTTTCCCACGAGGACGTTTTACCCAGGTGATAACTTCGGAACGCGTCATTTATTGTAATTTTAAGGATCTGGGTAAATTTTTGCGCCTCTACATAAATTAAATAACAAAATCGGCAATACCATATTTGTTAGGGCCGAAGGAGCCGACTTCCCCCTTGATTTGAATTTGAATTGAAAAAAATGATTGAGCACGCACGCACTGAGCATAAGCGCACGGAATTCGCTCATGCTCGCCGGCGCCGTTTAAACCGAAGCTCTGTTTCTGACGAATGGGTTGATCCATCTTGTTCGCGAACGACGTAGTGAACAGAATGAACAACCACGACGTCATAGTTTTTTGTTTTGGAGAAGCTTCACATTCCATGAAATGGGTAGCTTCTTGTATTCTGGTATCAATAAGACAAATCGTTTGACCATTCCGCTTTACGATTGTTCGTCTGAACGCTACGTTGAATTTGTGGTGAAACCAAACATGTTTTGCAAACGGTCGCCATTTTTGCAAGAATAATTTGAGAGTGTTTATAATTTTCAACACTTTTGTGTTTTGTGTGGTGACATGACATTAAGAGGGTGACGTTTTATCATTTTGGAAAGTTGAATCGTTTAGCAGAACAAAGAGTTTACCCAACGTATTCTGTTAGTATTTGTAAACTTCACAACCCATTTTGGTTCTGGTGAACGCAGCCAATAAAGCAAAGAAAATAACCCCACACTAACACAAGAAAATGATGAATAAAAATATTTCTACGTATGGACGCACAAACCAAATTCCCGTTTAAATTGAGCACGTGAATCTCTTTGAGCATGTACCCAGAGACCGACAGTGGCTGGCTCGCGTTCGCGGCTATTCGCACACAGAAAGATTCAGAGCGAGCGTTCGCGTACAGCCGCTTACACTAGAGTATTCGCGGTGGCTCAGTGCGTGCGTGCTCAAGTCTAAACGCACCTTTATTCAAAGTTAAACTATAGACTAGCCCTGTTTGTACGAAAGCGCCCTCTTTTTTTTTGTATGGGCGGTTACACACGGACGTCCTAAGACATATACGTGCATACATCAACGTGCAAACAACAACGTGCATGGCGCTTTTGTACAGACGCTCGCACAAAACTGCAGTCTTGCTATTCTTGCTACAGTGTTCCGAGTGTGCATACAAAATTGCACATTCAAAAACGCGACGGTATTTTGCATACACATTGATGTTTTTGTTTGCACGTTCATGTATGTGCGTACATGTTTTCAGACATCCACGTCCGTGTGTAACCGCCTTATCCTCTATAATTGTCTATTGCAACTGACAATGAGATATGATTTCTATTTAGAACTGACAACTAGGTATAATTATTAGTTAGAACTGGGGTGCGTTCAAGGACAGCAATGCTAATGCCAAAACCTACTTTTCCCCCTCCACCGGTAATGCCGAACCACGTAGGTTGAAGCCGAGCTCGAACGCAAAATGCCAATTTTGGCTTGGCTGTAGCCATTCCTGAACGCAGCCCGGATATAAGCCATAATTATTGTCACTTGGAGCCAGGGATGTGCGTCTACACGTAGACATTCATTGTCTACCTTACGTGTAGATAATGTAGACAATGTAGACAACGTGTCAACAATGTAAAATAATATAAATGACGTTTAATTCTAACCTCACACTTTCCTTTTCTTAAATTATTTTTATTTTATTATTGGTTTTTCTGATATTTTATTATCAGTGAATGCTAATATCGAAATGATAATGATAGTATAATAACTTTCTATATTTTTTTTCAAATTTTTTAAAATAAGTTATTGTTTACGCCGCATGTAGATAATGTGTAGACAAATGCTCACGTAAACAATTCGAATTGTCTACGCGTAGACAATCAATTGTTTACGTTGACATTGTCTACAGGCACATCACTGCTTGGAGCTGACAATTAGGTATAATTGTCACTGGAAACTGACAATTAGTCATAATTGTCACTTAGAGCTGACAATTAGGTATAATTGTTACTGGGAACTGGGGGGGATTCTCATCCTCTAGTCGCAACCTATCGTCCCGACTCACCCGTAGAAAGACAATGGGAAAGTCGGGTCGATAGGTTGCGACTAGAGGATGAGAATCCTCCACCTGACAAATTGTCAGTGACAATTAGTCATAATTGTCACTTGGAACTGACAATAGACCTATCTATTTTACCAGACAAGGAGGTAATAATACGAAAACTTAATTAGATAAAAAAAGACACAGAACGCTCATTGCGCGAGACGAGGTAAAACATACCAAATTATGTTAGACTTACGTATAGCAATCCGTCCTTCTTATTTGCACGGGATAAAAAGGAAAGGAGGAAGACCGCGTGTTGTGCAACGTATTTGTCAATGAAAATTTCAAACAACTTTAGAAAGACACTTGTCAAGCTATGCCAAGTTGAATATCATTATCAACCGTACTTTCATCCTTGTCAAACCACGAGCAATGAACAAGGACAAGGAGATGCGCAGCGTAAGGTCTATTACAACAGAAAATTTAAGAGGATTTAAAAAAAAAAGATGTTCGTTCAGCGCTTTCGTATGTTTGTATATACCAAATAGGCCCGGTTGTGTTTCAGTTGAACGTTGGACTCTGCTAGTACTTGATCTATACCATGAAAGTTCCAGTAGAGTTAAACTAAACCACTATTTAGTACAACCGGACCGGGCAGGATGAACCCATAGACGATTTCGCCACGTTTTGGTTGGTAGGTAAATTGGTTAACCGCTAGGTAGGCTGTTCGTCATAGCAGTGACGTCGCATACTATAGCTGCTTACGATCAAGAACTTTTCTTACCTAAGTTAAAGTTAGTTTCTTAGCTGAGCTAAGTTGTTTGATCGTACGCGCAATTCATATAGGCTGATCAGCTGCCTATCAAGTTACGACTCACGTCACGTATTTCTAGTTCAGGTTCTAGTTACGACGAGAGTTTCAGGTTCAGTTTGTTGGTTTTATTAATTATTTCAATTGAAATTGAAACTGAATTGTTTTTGTACTACAGCACAGTTTATTTCACATTCAAAATGAACAATTATCTACCTAGAAGTGTCATGAAGCGTGCAATGGCAATAATGAATAATAAATTTCATTAAACTAAACACCTTTTCAAAGTTCCTGTTCCAACGACCAACTCTCAACAAAATAAAAATAAAGAAACAACCTCAATTTAGAAATTATTAAACGTCAAAATTCAAAAAATGCGTACTTTGCGCCAACTTAGGTCAGCTAAGTTATCTCAGTTTAAAATCCGGGTGTCTTAGCAGATGAAAGGGGGGAAGGCAGATTCTAACTTTTAAGTTATGATAGATCGTACGCGCAACTAAGTTAGATTCTTTAAGTTAGGTAAGAAAAGTGCTTGATCGTAAGCAGCTTATTTTCAGCCGAAATCAGCCGGTTTGTCAAATGTCAGGTGTATGACGTGATGGTGATGGTATGCCTGAGAAAATTAAAATAAACAAACTACTGAATAGTTTTTATTGTTGGAAATCAAAATTGGGAATAGTTAAAATTAATTGTGCCTATTTGCTGTGTTAAATTTCAAATATAAACAAAAAAGTGAGTTAAATTACTCCAAATTAGAGAGAGATAGCTAGCTACCAATTCAAATAACCGTGCTCCAAGCTCGGTACCCAATTTGACATACCAAAATATATACCAAAGTTATCGTGACGTCATTGTTTTTCGTGCCGAAATTGGTTGGTACATTTTTGACCAACCAAAGTGGGTTACCAAAACGTGGCGAAATCGTCTCATGTCAAAGCAGAAAACTCGGTCAAAACATAACCTCACAGTATAAGTTTGTTTACTGTTTGTTTTCAAATAATTCAAATTGATTTTATTTTTGTTATTGTTTGTTGTGAATTGTAGAATAGAACAAAAAACAATTTATCATGGATGTAAATGTTGAAAAATTCCCAATTATGTGCCGTACATGTTTATCAGTATCAGCAGAAACAGAGTCTTTTATTCCAATTATTGATACCAAGGATGGAATATTGTTGGTTGATGTGATTAGCAATTTTATACCTTTAGAGGTTTGTATCGCACCCATTAGAAACTTTCGGCTCTTACCTAACTCAATAGATAACAATTTCACTCTCATATCATGCATATAATATATAATATATAATACTCGATATAATACAACCAATTTCTTTTATTCTGATGTGTGCTGAAATGTGGTTTCAGTATTTCATTAAATTTGCCATTGACGACTTTTTTCAAATACTTTGGGATTATTCAAGCGATTATTGGCATACCTAGATTTGACCATTCTTCTTGTTACTTTCCTGGATTGATAATAAGTTTCTACTACATTTCATTTTATTTACACTATTCTGAGATGAAAGAGATAACGAGTAAGCAAAAAAATTAATAAATAGGTATACCTACTGGTACACCTATAATACATTTCATTTCCATCTCACACAAAAACGCATAAGTAAATTCAAAAGTGCAAAAATATGGAAATATCAAAAACACAGAGATAGAAACATAAAAATATCATGTAAACATGAATCTGTGAAAACAGAGACTGTAGAGATGCAGAAATGCAAGAGTGCTGGAATCGAGACTGAAATGCAATAATAACATATGCTTCCATCATAAAATGATAAGCGTAAGTTAGCTCCTCATCAAGTTTTTATCACGAAATGGCTGAAAATGGAAATCAGGAGAAAAATGTGATGCAGCAAGCAGCCCAGTTCATTACACTCACATTTTGCCCTTTACTCTCTTAAAAGCTGTACTCATCCTACCTAGAGGTTTGTTTGATCATTTAAGGAGAGGATTGCCCATTTCCTTGATTCTTGGAAATGCCAATGTCAAATTAATTCAACTTGAGATTCAACTCTTCATAAATTAATAATTTATTTATTTACATATCCTCTCTCATTCACGTTGAGATGGGTATTGATACATAACAGAGAGTGATACATGTATCTGAGATTTGTATCTATGTATGTTAACTGTCCCTACATGATTTTGAACAGAAAATCTCGCCAGACTTAAGTATCCATGATCAGAGCATGAATCTGCATAGCGTCCGAGTCTTAGGGCTTGATGTAAATTGTTGCAGCTACTTCAACAAGGTAACAGGTAACAAAGATCCTATAGGTCAAGTATTTCATTGGTGTATGTACTGGGGTTTCTCGTATATTTTTGCACCCCACCTGAACAGGTTAATTGAATAGGTATCAGAAAGGTGTAAATAGAAATACAAATAAAAACCTTTTTAATACCTATTTAATTAACCTGTTCAGGTGGGGTGCAAAAACATAAAAAACTCTGTACACCCTGGTCTTCATCAAGTCAGAAATTGACTGGTGGATTGAAGTCTGGTGACTAAGGAGGCCATGGAAACAGACCATTTCGACTAATCCATTTATTTTCAAAATCATAGTTCAAATACTGGGGAACTAAACGAGTAACATGCAACCATCTGCCCAAACATTTGGCCAAAATTTGTTCTGTAGGTTCCTGCAAAAATTTATTTAGTGAAAATATTGTTAAAGATTTGTAGAAAATGGCTAGTCCATAGATATTTATTTATTAGGCAAACCACCTACACATTGTTTTCATTAAACTTTGTAGTTCTTAAACAAATTCAAATGTTATGTTATCATTTTAGGACTTGATGGATTGTAGATTACCTCAAAAACTATGCCCAATATGTGCTGAGCATGTAATCCGGTTCTTTAATTTTCAATCTAAATGCACCAGAAATGAATCATTGTTGAAACAATGTTTGGAACAACTAGAAACCAAAATAATTATTAAAGACAATAGTAGTGAAAATGGACTTCAAAAAGAAATATGTTCCTCTCCGGATCATGACAGCAATATTATTAATGATTATGGGCCTGTAACAAACAGAGAGGAGAACATCGTTATTAGGATACAGGAAGATAGGCAATTACCCCTTAACACTAAAGTGCCAGAGGACACTACTGCAAAACAAATTGTTTGTGAAATTTGCAATAAGACATTTTTATTTAGATATAAATTAGAAGCACATTATAGGGTGCACACAGGAGAAAAACCTTATAAATGTGATGTGTGCGAGGTTACATTTAGTTTTAAGGGAAATTTAACTAGGCATCAAAAGCTTCATACTGGAGAAAAACCTCATGTTTGCCACGTATGTGGAGAAGGTAATGTAATTAGTTCAATTTTTCACATTCATTGTCTTCCAAAACGTTTTGAATGGCACCAAACATTCTTTGGACCTCAACTGAAACATATGGCGAAAACCATTGGTAAAATTAGTGCGAAAAACATGTATTTCCGTCACTTGCTTTTACATGCTAGTAGAAGAGGACACGAATACACTCAGTGCACACTGAACTCACCAATGGATTTCACTGTTAAATTTAAAGTTGAGGAGCTGCAATCTAATAACATTTTTTGGGATTTATTTTCAATATGTCAGAATTTGACGGTGTTACGACTGAATGCCACCCAATTGTGCATGTATAAATTCCTGAAAAATCCCATATGATGCTAACTTCAGTAGTGACATTGTACGCATGTGAAACTTTTCTATTTTAAAGATATCTAAAGGACTGGAGGTATATAAATGTCAAGCCTTCAAAAAAAAAACCAATCAAACATTGCTTTGATTACGGAAACGTATGTCGCATTATTGTTTCCTTATTGGTCAGGATTTTTGACATGACATTTTGACATTAAAGTTCATTGACAAAATTAAAGAAAAATATTGCTAAGACATTCGTTTAAAAAACCATAGCAATTAAAATCTTTGATTGGGTTTTTTTTTTTTTTGAAGACCCGATATATTATTTTTTCTTCTGCTTTCTTGTCAGAAACCACCACTGTGGTTTGTCGACAAAGCCTCCAACATCACACACAAACCAAATCAAACAAACAAACAAACATCCATGCACCTAGCCGGGATTCGAACCCGAGACCCACTGCATGCAAAGCGAAAACACAACCGCTGAGCTGCTTGGGTCTGCAATTACCTCTAAACCCGCGTACAGACCTAATTTCCAACGCTAGCCAACGGCACATGTGAACTATATTGGAACGAGTTGGCTTTGGTGTGTACGGCGGTGTGGACGATGTTCTCAAATCTTTTCCACTGCTTTTCAATTCCAATTTCATGTGACAACAGCACATGTGCCGTTGGCATTGGTCTACGTTGAAAATTCGGTCTGTACGCGGCTTTATATTACCTTAATTATTAATTACTGTTGTTGTTGCTATTTTCCCTTTACTGAAGATCATTACCTATAAACTGGCTTCATTCAAACCTAAAATGTTTGCTTCTGAAAATATTATAATTTTTTTCAGGATTTATTCAAGCAGTTTCATTAAAAGCCCACCTAAAAAAACACGATAACTATTCAAAACGAGTGGACTTTGCAGCAGAAGACACCAAACAGCAACCAAAATTAGAATGTCAAAATTGTGGTCGGGATTTTATTAGAGTAAAAGCTTACAATTTGCATATGAAAAAGCATCATCGAAACCAAGAAGAAAATGGCACTTCAGAATCAAAAATGGATACCACTGTCAATACTGGATGTAAAATTTGTGGCAGGAAAGGATTCGCCAATGTCAATACTCTTAAGCGGCACATCGCTCGACATGGAAAGAAACAATTTTTATGCTGCGACTGTGGAAAGGGCTTTGCTTGTAACGCTGGTCTTCGGTCGCATATTAAGGTACGAGACGTGCGATTTAAGTCTGCATGTGTGTTTAGAGTTTCCTGTAGAATGAAAACATGAAGCATTATAGAGGACTGCTTATACAAAGGGGTTGCATTCAAAAGACCAAAGTATCCATCAGTTTTATCAAAAACGGTCAATCTGGCAACTGCAAAAATAAAAATAAAAAAACAGGCATTAAAGTACCAGACTTTTAACTTCCTGTATATCTGTATATAAAAAACAAGCTTTCAGAAAATCTCAGTCAAATTCAATATATGGTTTCTTATAACCGCAAAAATATACCTAAGTTTATAATACCTAGTATGAATGGTGCAAGCATAAATAAATCTGAGACCTCTTGTTTCTTGGGCTCATGGTTAGATATACAAATTACACGTAGAACAAGTGGCAAACAAATTGAATTTGGCTCATTATGTCATTAATAATCTAAAAAAATATGTTCAACAATCAATCTAGTTGGAAAATATTCTCTCTAGGTCCTTAGAAATCAACAGCTGACGGTATATGCATCATTTGCATTTAGCTATAGTTTTTTTAAATCAAATTGAATGAAATTTATCATGAGTATGTACAACTATTTCAGATTCATACAGGAGAAAAACCCCACAAATGCCTAATATGCAAAAAATCTTTTGCACACAAGGGTTCTTTGATATCTCACCAATTAGTGCACACAGGTTTCAAACCATTCAAGTGTGATACGTGCAAAAAACGATTTTCTCAATCAACACATCTGAGAACTCATCAAAGAATCCACAATGGAGAAAGGTATTTTACACAAAATTTTAAAAACTTTGAACTATTGAAAGTTTATTTTATTCATTTTTTTTTTAGACCTTATTCTTGCTCCTATTGTCAAAAATCTTTCTCAGTAAAACAAAACTTAACTGTTCATATTCGCACCCACACTGGAGAAACACCGTATATGTGCCCAATATGTGACAAGGGTTTTTTTGATTCGAGCAGTATGAAAAAGCATAAGACCAGCCATATCACCTATACAGAAAAAACCATTAACGGAGATAATTCCTAAGCTATATTGTAATGTTTAATTTTTGTTGCTGGAATCTGGTAAGCTATTTGGTATGATCTCAATTATACACTTTTAATATGTGAAGTTATTGTCACTTTAGAAGAATAGCCTTCATTAAATTGTGTTTGGAAAATTAGGATTTTGTATTATTTTATTAAAAAGTGGCTCCAGGATATTGGATATTGCTTCAAACTGCTAGACAAATCTAAATAGCTATTGCTTTGGCTACAAGCATGTAGCTTGTTTACTATATTTGATTTGAGCCCAACAAATCTCACAGCAAATAGCTGTTATTGATATATAGTAGGTGGAATTTAATGGTTGAAGGAAACAATTTCTACTGCACTTCCAGCGTGCCACACAAAAATAATTAGAAAATTTCATAAGTACCTGTGTACAACTATAAAGTCAGAACAGCTGGTTGTATTAGGTGCCAGGCAAGTAAAATAGATAAAAAACTTCATTATTCAAAAACAATAAATTTATTCAAAAAATTGTGTACAATTAAATGCAGAAAATCAAAAACTTAAAAATATAAATATGTATGCTTACATAGCGCCCATTTCTTCTTAACTAAGTGTAAAAAAATTGATTGAAATATCCACACCAGAGTAGAAAATAGGTACTTGTTCAATTGAGCCAAAGTTTACTTGCTGTGATTCTTTTTTTAGTTTTTGCCTAGAGCGGCGATCAGGCTTTGGACTTTGGCAATATATTTCTCTTTGGCTTCGTCTTGGGCAAGACCTTTCCTTTCGTTCCATGCGTCCCATTTGGCTTTACCTTTCAAGTCCAAAAGACCTGGCCTAGCTGAAAAAGTATTTAACAGTTTAGTCCAAATATTTGAATTAGAACTAGTTTAGCTATAACTTTAAGATGAACAATCTAAGCCCTTGATTCACTTTCTTTCTGGACATAAGAATTCGCTGTGCTCTTGTGCTGTGTGTACTCTTTATAGTTCTTTCTTAGGCTGGTTATTTGTTGGTGGGCTTTGATTAATTTGAGTCAAGTGTTAGCAAGAAACTTCCACCGCCAGAGTATCTTGAAGGGAGAGGGATTTAGAGTTGTAGCTCCTTAGCAAAGTCTAGTTCTTAGGCAGATTTCAAATCTCTACCACTCTCATAGGTATAATTTGTTATGAAAGGTCTTGTTCTCAACTTGTGTCCGAAAGTAAAAAAACCAGCCTAATAAGTGACTATATTATAGTAAATTCTGAACCCAAAAAACTAACGCATTTGAGGTTTCAATGGTAGAAAGTCCAAAGTTCTGTTGAAAGCAGTTGGGTCATTAATACTCTGCCGATCATAAAATTAGGGTCACTCCATACTTTGCAATTATTTTTGAATTTTTTAGTTTTTGCGAATTTTTTTTTGGGTGTACAGTTTACTAACTTTATTGTTATTGAGAGATACGTCATGAGAGATACCATGCATGGAATACACAAATATGCTGATAATGCTTTTGAGGAATTTCGGCGAGGGACCCTTTTTTTATCAAACTTTAAACAAAATAACAACTTTTTTTAAATTCAAACAACCACTATAAAATCATCGCATAGAGTAGTAAACTATGTTACACCCACAAAAAAAATCTCAAAAACTTGACATTTCAAAAATAATTGTGAATTATGGGTGACCCTAATTTTATGCTCGGCAGTGTATATTTTCTTTCAACTACATATAAGAAAAACTATAAGTGGAAACTCACAAGTGTTGACATCGCCCACGGTAGCTTGTTTGAAAAGAGCGTAGAGTTCCAAAAGGTCACTGTCGGATGGTTTCGATTTTAGGTTCTTAACATCTTCGGCGGCTTGGTTGAAACGCTGAAAAATACACGCCATTGAGAGACAAACAAAAGGCTATAGAATATATCAATTTTTATTAGTTATATAAATAGCAAATAGCTTTTGAAAATAAATTATGTGCACTGTGCACTGAAGTGAAAAACGTTTTTTTTTTACATAAATGTAATCGTTTAGGTGTATTACTTGAATCAACCACTCACCTCGTCAAGGGACATGATTGATCTGAAACAAAAGAAAATAGAATTAATTATTTTGCATTTTTACTAATAAAACGTAGTTGCTAAGACGTCAATGCTAAAGTTAACTCGTAAATGAATAATAGTGCAGTTTTTTCGCTACACTATAATTACCAATTAAAAAATGTTTATGAATAATTAAACCACATTTAAATGTAATAAAGGCTGGTCAATGAAATGGTTGAATAATGACTATTTCGCCAAATCTTTAGGAATTTACATGTGTTGAAAATAAATATTTAATGTAAGACTGTCTAATATTAATTTTCTTGAATTTTTGGTAGTTTATAGACTTTTATAGATACCTACCTACAGACATATTTTGCTGACACAATTTTATCGCAAATTTATGAGAAGGCATCATGACAGCCAAAATCCATATTCCTTTCAAACATAAATAAGACAAGAGTGACACATAATTTGTGTCAAGTAGGTATTGCTATAGGTACCTAACATTCCGCTTTATGTTGGGTAATTTTTTTCGAAAAACAACATAATAGGTGTAGATCGATTATTGATTAAAGGACTACAAATAAAATATTATCTGGAAGTTAATAAATATTTACACTAGATATGAAATAAAATGAATAAGAAAAACAGGTGCTCCAGTTTCTAAAAGTAGAAGTCGATGAATATTAGAGTAGGTACTTGAACTATCATTTTGAATTATTTATTGGAAATTGGCATCACTGGACTACCTATTAGGTTTTTACTTGGAGTGGACTTTGTCTCTATACATATAATAAATTCTGTTATAATAATTAATTTGTATATGGTCGGGGAGCTGAGGACGCTTTTGATTGCTGCCTTTGTTTAGACTTAGACACTTAGAACAATAGCAACGACTCCTCCAAATAAAAATCCAGGATCCGCGGCCAAGTACTAGAATTTTCAGATCCACTGAAAAAGGGCAATCTTTCGGAAACGCTGATCCAATTAACCGGATCGCCAGCTTATGTACTTCATCGTGTTCATTGAAGAAAGATAAAAAACAAATAGCTGGTGATCGGGCTAATCGGATCAGCGTTTCCGAAAAGACTTCAGATATATCGAAATACGAGCTGTAAAGTGGTGGAACAGTGGCTCGCGACATATTTCGTCCAAAAACTATACAAGCTACAAACAATAGAAACGACTCCTCGAAATAAAAATTCGCGATCCGCGGCCAAGTACTAGACTTTTCTCAGATTCAGCGAAAAAGGGCAATCTTTCAGAAACGCTGATCCAATCAACCGGATCACCAGGTGATGTACTTTGTCTTTTTTGAATCGTGTTCATTGAAGAATGATAAAAAACAAATAGCTGGTGATCGGGCTAATCGGATCAGCGTTTCCGAAAAGGCCACTTTGAAGTGGTGGAACAGCGGCTCGCGACATTTCGTCCAAAAACTGTAAAGAAATTTGGTACGTGGCTTTTCAGAAAAATGAGCCAGAAAGGCTTCTTCAGCTGCTTCATCTAACGCTGGTTAGCTTTGCAGCAATCTTCAAACTTTTGGTAGGAACTTTAATAACTCATTTGGCAACGCCTTGGATTTTGTCAGAACTAGTCTTGAGATCGCTCCTTTTGTCACTGTTGTATATATCAGAGGATGTTTTATGAGATTTACCTCATTCTGAAAAGCACTTCATCATTATCAGAGTCTATTTCCTTTTTGTTTTTGTCAGAAAATGCCGAAGCGCCCAGGGCCAGGTCCCCTTTTTTTACTTTTTTTGACACATGTTTTCACTTTTTCCAAATATTTTCTGTTCTTAGAATACGATATTTAATTTATTAATGTTATCTTTTATTTCGGACGTGTTTCAACTGCCATTTTGAAAAATATCTGGAGCGGGTAGTATTAGTTTATAAAAATGTTTAATAATTTATTAAAAATATAGTCTTCGAATTTTTAAGTTTTATCGGTACAAATCGCTTGAAATGGTCGATAAGACCTATGCTACATTTCCTGCTTGTAAACCACAATTTGCCGTTAATTTTTGTTTTTAGTTAGCACTAATAAGGTCCGAATCAACGCGAGTTACGCTTTTATGATTTTCGACATAATAAATCGCGAAAGTTCATATATTATTTCATTATTTGTCTAAAAAAACAATAAATTTTGAGATACGGCTGTTTGAAAATGTAAAAAAAAAATTCCATGCAGCGCAAACTTCTTGAAATTTAGAATAAGATCAAGAAATTTTATTGCAACAGCTAAATTTGCCAAACCCATGCAGAAGATCATTACCCCAGTAGCACAGCAATATTGGTAAAATATTATATTTACATATTGGCCCAACGATGGAAACGTCAGGTTTTTCTTCATCAATCACAACGATCACTAATCAAGATCTTGTTCAATCATTTTTTTTTTGCTACACATTGCATCTGAATTGGATTTTTCTTTCAATAGGCCCTGAGACCGTGAGGGGTGAAAATGGGTGGCCTATGCACACATTTTCAGCAGGATTTGTTATGAGGGCGGAAAATAATGTCTTTAACACTTGTGGCTTCATCAAAAATTATTATTGTTGGGTTACTTTGATGCTTGGGGTGATTTTAAGTTAACTTTCAGGCGTCGTAACTCAATGAATATTTCACCTATAAGATTGTCATAGATATGGGGCGTCCTTTATATAGGTATTATCAACGGTATTATCGAATCCCGCAGAACCATGTAGTTCCTTTCTTTTATGGGGTAGGTACTTGAGTCACATTGTTCAAAGTTATAATAAAGAAAATCCTAAAAAGTGTACTGTTAACTGTTAAGCCCTATATTTTTAATAATTCTAATATGTAGTAAGTACTCATCTATAGAGAAATATCGCAAAGGCAAGGCAAGCCTTATTTGGAGAGTTAAACATATTCCTATTTCGAATAAGGACATCCTCAAGAATAAGGATCTATATTCGGCCTTATTAACACGTTGACTGCCATGAGTGCCATGTCATGTTTATATGAATGACAGCACCGTTTCAATAAACGATGTGTCATTCATATATGAATGACGGTGATTTTCTACTACTGGGCCGCGTCGTTGGCATATGAATGAAGTTAGCGGAGATTAGCATTGCAGTGTTATACTGTGGCAGTGTTGCGAATCTGAATTTAGGAAATTACACGATATGCTGGTCAAATTACACGTTTTTACACGCTTTCATTTCTCACAATTACACGATTTTTACACACGATCTTGGTACCTATTCTATAAAATCAAGAAACAAGTATAATTTTTTTATTTTTTTTTTGATTATGATTTTGGGAAATGGGTTAAATCCAGTCAAATCTGAGGGTTAATGCTCCTGATCAAATCACTAATTACTCTGGTTCCTGGAAAGAAGGTTACTTTCGGACCTCAGTTTCCTGCAAGCATACTACACACTACTACTACTACAGAATAGCCTATCCTCATAAGGCCTGTGTAGTTCAAATCTCAAGCCCCCCTGCCATGCCAAAGTACCAGTGTTAACGTAGATAGCGTGTCATTTCTCGTATTCATTAATTAACATTATAAAACAACTCTTTTTCATGTCTCGTTTGCATCTTCCGCTTCGCCTATAATCAAACTTAATTAACATTTTTCTTCATAAATTTAAAACGACCGCTGACGCAAGCAGCTAACCAGCTGACGACTTAGTTAATGACGTCGACAATGGTGCTAAACCATATGACCGCGATTACTAAAAACTACAGTGCCTAAAAACGAGGCCTATAAGCAATCTCTAGTGTGTATTATCCTTGGCCATAAGGGTAGTCATTTGACAGATCATTTGTTTAGATTGGAAAGCCATGAAACTGACAAAAATAAAGAAAATGTTAAATTTTTCAAATTACACGCAAAATAAACACTCTTTGTTTATGTTCGAAAAATACACGCAAGCCAATCAAAATACACGCAAATCGTGTAATTACACGCTAATTGGCAACACTGTACTGTGGCCTGTAGGGAATCTATAGGTATACATCGCCTGGCCAAATTTGAACAGGGACCAGAGTTAGGTATGGTCAAAAAAAAAATACAGTTTTTTTCCTAAATAAAATAAAAACGAACATTTATATGGGTTAAATTATATATTTTTACCGGCATATAAGATAAATTCCTCCTATTTCCAAAATAGGAACGTTTTGGTGGGTGAGTTTTGAATGCTTTCCTGTCATTAATATATATGAATGACGTGGCGCCTCCACAAAAAAAAAAACGTATTTTTTTTAGGGTGGGGCCGCGTCATTTATGTATGAATGACAGCAAAAGACGTCAAAAAATGACATTACAAAGGTTAAAAACATAAAATATGTTTTTTTGGGGGGATAATAATAGTATATTATATACCTAGGTAGAGAAGTTGGTCCTTATATACCGAGCGCTTTTATAAACCGAGGCGCTCGCGCCGAGGTTTATAATGAGTGAGGTATATAATGACTTTCTCTACCGAGGAATATATAGAATTTTTTTTACTACTGCTAGTAGAAAATGAAAAATTTGTTTAAAATCTGTGCTCCAATTATTTTTTTTGAACGCCCTCTTGAAAGTGCTGCCCTCTATCAACAGCTTATGATAACTTCCTATGTACCTACAGAAACCTGTATTTTTTTTCAAATTGACGTATGGAAATGAAATTGAACCAATAGAAACATGACAATATCCTTGCGTCATGACGTCTTTTTCATTATTAACCTAGGTATTTTTTCATTATTTTCATTATTCACCTAGGGAGAGAAATTCAAATTTTTCCTAGAAAAATAGATTGAATAATGACAATTTCTCAGGTTAGTAGTAAAAAAAGACTTTTAGGATACATTATAGGGTTTGATTTTTTGGCCCACATGGTAGCATAACCATGTTACCCATTGGCAGTCAACGTGCTAAGGAGCAAATAAGATATTCCTCGTATCAGCATTATTTTGACCGTATTTAGAAGTCCCTAGTAAATCGGTGGTAATGGTTGTAAAATTATAATTTTTTTCTTATCCTAAATTTGTATAAGTTGATTCAAAATCCTAGAGTTT